AAGATGCTGTCACGCTTCTTTTACACGAAGGGGGGCAGATATATCCCAGCAGCCTTTGAAGTCTTTCAGGCAAAACCTCTGGCGCAGTTACTGTATGGGGCACAAATCTGGACGGGGAACCACTGCTCAAGTCTTGAAACTGTTCAGTCTAAATTCCTAAGGCAGATATTCGGCGTCCCCTCCTGTGTCCCAAACGCAGCTTTACGACTCGAGGCCTGCCTCCCATCTGTAGAAACTCAGACCTGGCAAAGAACATTCAACTATTGGCTTCGTCTTAATCTAAATCCACCCGGTCTACTGCCTCTAGTAATGCAAGACCCTCATAAAAGCATGTGGTTCAAAACTGTGCATTCAAAAACTCCTTACATGCAGTCTGCATTCGCAATCCCTACTATCAATGGGCCTTATTAAAGCAAAGAGCCTAATAGGCCAGCGCCTGAAAGACATTGAACGGCAAAAACAAGCCTGACTATTTTAAAGAAAATGTTGTCCATGGTATACTTACTTTCCCCCTGCCCACTTTGACTTCCCAGCTTCATATTTGTCTAAATTAACCATCCCAAAATACAGACGCGCCTTTACATTGGCTAGATGGGATGCTTGGCAGGAGGCCATGGCACGACCCTCGGTGACATCAGGGGAGAGCCTATAGTTGGATTAGCATCAACAGGCTCCACCTACTGGTGAATAAACCCCCCTTATTTCAGACTCACCCCTCTCTGAGGGGGTGGAGTCAGCTGACGTAATCCAATGCCTAAGCCAATACCTTTTCACTTGCTGTAATCAATAAAGTTGTGGCCTTTTCTTGCCCATTAACCTTATATCACGTGTCCTCGTGTTTCATTCCACTGCACGGGGTATGGGTCCTCGAACCACAATGCCAATAACTGGGAAACCCTATGCCAAATTTCCTTTGTCACTGAGCAATAGTTACCTCCTGTATGGTAATACGAACAGTTTCCGATGAACCACCTTGAGGTCTGGAACCTGTAGAGAGAGAATGATGAGGGTGGGACGAGTTAGAAAGGGGTTGTTGTTTTAAAAAAAATTAAAATGATACACAGAGTGACTTCCAAGTAGTAAAATCATCCAAATTACAGTCAAATATGAAAACTTAAAAGAAATCATGCAGCAACTGTGGCACTGTAGAATTACCCTGTAAAAGAGCTTTGCGGTTGTTTCACCAAAAAAACAACAAAACTGTTTGCCCATCTTCACTGAAAGGAGTTGATAAGATCAAAAGGAGAAATGTACATTTCATAAAACAGCGTTGTCGATAACACAAACACAGCAGCATTGGGATGGGATGAAGAAAGACTTCTTACCTGGGAATAGATTATTCCACCAGCGTTAGCAATTTTCTGAAAGAAAATGGGAGCCATTTAATTTGGCTATGATGCAGCTAGTGGAAAAGGCAGTAAAGCATATGAGCAAGTAATCTGGACCCTTGTCTACTCCTGGTCATCTATAGCCGTGGTTTTTAAACTGTGTTGCAGAGAACCTCAGAGAAGGAAGCTAGATGAGAACCTGCTAAGAGAGCTCCAAGTTCCTGGCAGTGGATCGGCAAGGATCCCCACTTCCGATTGTTTTTAAAACGTAATCATGAAAATGCTTTTATTCTTCTTCATTAGGCTGCCAATATGAAGGATGGTGGAAAGCTGGGTGGGGGGGGGAGAACCAGGAGCTGGATTTTTCTGTGACAGGATCATGAGTATTGTTCTGCTATTAAAAAACAAACTTCTGGGCATGTGATCAGAGGCAAAGCATAGGAAGCTGCCTTGTACTAGCCCAGACTGGCAGCAGCTTTCCAGGGTTTCCAGCCTTAGCTGGAGTTGTTTGGGAGTGAAACTGGGACCTTCGGCATGTTTGTAGGTTCGAGCCCCACGTTGGGCAAAAGATTCCTGCATTGCAGGGGGCATACTAGATGATCCTTGGGGTCCCTTCCAACTCTACAGTTCAACAATACTATGATCCAAAGTCTCCCCCTCCCCCTGCTCTGGATCCTGAATCTTCCCAGGAGCAGGAGGACATTATAGATTTGGAACAGTGGTTTGCAGAGGGGCCTAGTTCAGAAGGCAGAAGCTGGGAAATACTGGATGGGGAACGGCTAGGAAAAGAAACACTGGAAGGGAGATGGTTAACAGATTCACGGTCTCTGGACAGCATTCCTCCTCTCAGCCCAAGGTTGAGAAGAGCTCAGAAAGTGGCAGAACAGAAAGCACAGAGGGTACAAGCTCAGATTACAAGACTTATCAGTGATGTAGATGAATAGGGACAGAAGTGAGGTGATCCTTAATTATGAGCACCACCATTTCTAGGAGATATATTCTTTGTTCTCTCGCTGTGATTATTAAAGTTTCTAACTGGTAAGAAGACTCCTTTTCTTCTGTTCTGCTTATTCTACTGCCACGGAGGGAGGAGGCTGACTGCCTAAAGCCTGACATAGACACTATTTTGCACCACAGCCACAAGGATGTGTTGGGTGTGTTCTAGACGGCACTTACAGCTCATTCAGAGCAATGGCGATGCCTCATAGACTTGTCCAGCAACCTGCAGGAACTCCAGGAACCTAAAACACTCCCCCAAAGTCTTTACGGAAACAATTCCTTGAAGCTAGAAAAGTTTGTAAGCTCCTGTCCACAGAAACCACTTACAATACAGAAAATATTACTGACTGCAGAGGTAAGGGACTTTTCCAGAGAAACTGGATACTTATAGAGCTCATCTCAGCTGATGAAAAAGAAGCTGAGGTTATGCAGTTAGATTGGGTTGGGAGGTAGGCAGCATAAGATTTGCTCTCATACAAATGTCTATTCAAATGAGATGTTTTGCTTACCGATGGATAAGTAGAATCACGCTATTAGGAAATGGAAAAGCAAAGAGACACAATGGTGTTATTCACTTGCAAAAGCGTTCCTTACAGAAAAGATCAAGGATGAAAAATTAAACGAAAGCATAACATGCAATCTAAATATAGGTTCCTTTTATTGTGCCAACTCTGTAGAAACAACTTGATCCCAAGCACTTAACCCTCCTGCTGCCTGTGACCAATGTCCCTACTATCTGTCCTTAAGATGTTTTTCCCCCTACAGTTTTAAGTAGGAATGGGAGAGAAATTAGATATACTTTTAATTTATTGAAGGAGTACTTAATTTGTACTTCTGGAACCAATATGCAAACTGAGACACAGCTATCCTTTGAAATGTGCAAGTCTCTGAATTTTGCAATGCAGTTCAGCCAATGTGTACAACAATGCAAATATTAGGGCGGAAGAGTACATAAAAATGGATGTGAAAGTAGCATACAAAATGCATTGTATTAGGGAAAACAGCTTCAAAAATGTGTGTATTAGGGGAAACTGCATGCAAAAAAGTGTTTGTTTTTAATAATTCACATGAAAATCCTAATCAATTTTGATTTCTTTATTTGAAAAATTACAAACTGGTGTGGAAATGCAAAGAACTGAATTGAAATATGAGAAACTGAGATAAATGGAAATGGACAGATTCATTCATCCATAGATCTGATCCCAAAAGTAAGCTAGCTTGGAGAAAAATGTTCAGGGTAGGAGTCAGGAGAGTCAAATAGCAAATGGGGAAAGTGTTCAGCTCTCTTTCTCCACACACCCGTTTTGCTCAGCACAGCTGAGTATAAACTAGGAAAGGAGAACCAGGTGTAGCCAACCAGGTGTCACAAGCCTCAAACTGCCATGAGCTAATATGACTAATGGTCAGGGATGCTGGGAGTTGTAGTCCTATAACATCTGGGGAGCCCCAAGTGTCCCCATCATTAGCTTGATGGACCCTAACTTCTACTAGGTCAGGGCTCAGTTCGAGATACACAGTTCTGTTTTGAGATCATTTTTAATCCAGTTTTTTAAAGGTTACCTTAACTGAACATTATTTGCATTTTTATTGTAACCTGCTTAGAGATTTTAATTACATTAAATGGTACAATTTAATCAACAAACAAACAAACAAATGCAGCACAGTTTAGTGTTTACCTCAGGTGGGAAAGGTTTGCTCTCTGGGTAAGTCACAACCTGTTAATGAGAAAAAAGTAGGGTATTTTTTTATTACGTGTTGGTGGTTTACCCTGCTTTTTGAACAAAGAAACAAAAAAGGTCTTCAAAATACTCAGAAAGAGAGGAGCTGTAGCACTGCAGATTCACGTTCTATATACTAATGGCATACAGCGAGGAAGTTCAGGAAATAATCTCCTATTTCCCAGTTTTAATTTTCTTGCAAGATCTGGCATTTCCCCCAAAAGAAGGTATTTTGAGGGTAATGACAGCACTTTGCTATTACCAATGTTAAGAGCACCAAGAGGTCCTTTTGTAGATTCCAAGAGGCTAAAACGGATGGACACACGATCTCTTAAAGAAAAGACTACTGTAACCTATTTCCTCATAGCAAAACATGTATAAAACTTTGGCTTGCTGAAGCAAGGATCGATCAACGTTTGCCAGCCTTTACAATTTTATTGGAAAGGAAGAAAAAATACCACCTACATACCTTTACTTTGCTGGTGGAAACCGACTGTAAGATATAGAATATAAATGTTAGTTAAAATCGCTTGAAATACCATGCATAAACTCATCAACAAAGCAATTTTGCGCCTAGATCTTGAGCATGGTTTGCTCCCTGTCAAGATCGCAACTCAGCACACATACTGGTGCAATCTACTTTTTGAAGATGTAAATTGAGTTGTTAAACTTTGGAGAAACTTTATACTCGTAAAATAAAGAATTATGTGGAAAGCGTTCTTACCTGGCCATATGAAGACTGACTGCCGGAAGCAGCTGCATTCTGTAAATAAACCAAAACTCCCTTAATTTCCTGAATGGTATGATTTAACCAGAGGCATACTTTGGGAAAAGAAAATGATTAGCTCTGTAACTGGATGCTTAGTGGAGGAAGGCTGGTCCAGGAACTAAATTTATTAGGGCAGCCTTTAGAATTCAAGAAAATGTAGAAATAAGACTAAAATTCAGTATAAATCCTAGGAATTCTGGATAGCAGACCACCCTGTTGGACTGGTAAGAAATGAGAACCTCTTCAAGCGGCCTTTTGGCTAAAAGGGGGAGCCTACCCTTGATATAGGGTCATGGGTGGCGCTGTGGGTTAAACCACAGAGCCTAGGGCTTGCCTATCAGAAGGTCGGCAGTTCGAATCCCTGCCGACCTTCTGATCGGGGTGAGCTCCCGTTGCTCAGTCCCTGCTCCTGCCTACCTAGCAGTTCGAAAGCACGTCAAAGTGCAAGTAGATAAATAGGTACCACTCCGGCGGGAAAGTAAATGGCGTTTCCGTGCGCTGCTCTGGTTCGCCAGAAGCGGCTTAGTCATGCTGGCTACATAACCCGGAAGCTGTACGCCTGCTCCCTCAGCCAATAAAGCGAGATGAGCGTCGCAACCCCAGAGTCATCCGTGACTGGACCTAATGGTCAGGGGTCCCTTTACCTTTACCCTTGATATATAGACAATATTGAGTGAAATTTACCAATAGGCTGACATAGTATATGGCAGCTTCCCCTGCGTTGTTGAGCAGGGAACAGGAATAAAACACAAAAGAAAGAGGCATACCAGTACTTACATCTCTGCAGCCAAACTTGTTGTACACACTTGCAGTTCCTCCCTGTGAGCAAAAGAAAAAACAGTTGTCTATTTTTTTTGCTGGTCAGCAGGCACGTCATTCAGATGGATAGATCAAACTGGATAGATCAAATCACACAGAGAGGGGCAGGGCCAGATTTAGGTTTGATGAGGCCCTCAACTACTGAAGGCAATGGGGTCCTTTATATGTCCAGCTGTCCTTTGTCAACAACGAATTGTCACTGTTTTCTGTGTTGAATATATGCTATGTGGTAATTTATGGACCTAATAGGTCCATACACAACACAAAACACTGCTGCTGTATGTAGGTTTTATTTTATTTGTTTTTTATCTTATATTTTGGAAATGTACATCCAAGTTTTTTTCCCTTTAATTTTTTTAGGGGTCCCCAAGAGAGTGGGGCCCTAAGCTATAGCTTGTTTAGCTTATACATAAATTCGGCACTGGAGAGGGGCAGCTATAGAATGGGATAATCTCTTATTTTGTAGTAACACAGTTCACCGAATCCTTGAGCACAACTTGTGTTATGCAACATTTACACTGGGACAAAATTCTAGATTCAAGAGGACAGAGTGTTTACTTACCCCACCGCAGCCGCTTCCGCTGCTGCTTCCTTCTTTGACCACTATGACCTGGAAAGAAAAAATTATGCCAGTCATTTCTGAGCCTGAATTTTTTTTGGGGGGGGGACTGCAGCCTACTGCACAGTACAGTGGTACCTCGAGTTACAAACACCTCAGGTTACAAACACTTCAGGTTACAAACTCTGCTAACCTGGAAGAGTTACCTCGAGTTGAGAACTTTACCTCAGGATGAGAACAGAAATTGTGTGGTGGCGGCATGGCGGCAGCGGGAGGTCTCATTAGCTAAAGTGGTACCTCAGGTTAAGAACAGTTTCAGGTTAAGAATGGACCTCTGGAACAAATTACCGTATTTTTTGCTCTATAAGACACACTTTTTCCCTCCTAAAAAGTAAGGGGAAATGTGTGTGCATCTTATGGAGCAAATGCAGTCTGTGTAGCTATCCCAGAAGCCAGAACAGCAAGAGGGATCGCTGCGCAGCCTGCATTCGCTCCATAAGATGCAGCAATCCCTCTTGCTGTTCTGGCTTCTGGGATTCAGAATATTTTTTTTCTTGTTTTCCTCCTCCCAAAAATAGGTACATCTTATGGTCTGGTGCAGGGACGCGGGCGGCGCTGTGGGTAAAAGCCTCAGCACCTAGGGCTTGCCGATCGAAAGGTCGGCTGTCCGAATCCCCGTGGCGGGGTGCGCTCCTGTTGCCCGGTCCCAGCGCCTGCCAACCTAGCAGTTCGAAAGCACCCCCGGGTGCAAGTGGATAAATAGGGACCGCTTACTGGCGGGAAGGTAAACGGCGTTTCCGTGTGCTGCGCTGGCTCACCAGATGCAGCTTTGTCACGCTGGCCACGTGACCCGGAAGTGTCTCTGGAAAGCGCTGGTCCCCGGCCTCTTAAGTGAGATGGGCGCACAACCCTAGAGTCTGTCAAGACTGGCCCGTACGGGCAGGGGTACCTTTACCTTTACCTATGGTCTGGTGCATCTTATAGAGCGAAAAATATGGTAAGTTCGTAACTAGAGGTACCACTGTATACAAAACTTTGAAGCATTCACTGGCTTAACTGCTGTGTGGAAGCTCCCAACAGATGCACTTTTTGTGGACTTACTTTTGCTCATGCATGCAAGTTTTTCCCAGTGTCCACATGGCGCTGACCTCATCAAAGTGCAATTCCACAATTCCCCACCCCCACCCCCAGCATTTAATTTTGATTTGCTGTTTCCACTGTACTTTTTTCTTTTAACTTATCAGATTCCCTGCAGAAACAGCAAATCTAGTTCAAATGGGGAAATACTATGGGAAGGCATTTTGATGAGAATTTATTTCATGTGGATTGTGCAAAAAACCTCCATGCATGAGCAGCAACAAGGATGTTAGGAGAAGCAACACAGCAATTCGCCTTCGTAAAATTGTCCCCTCCCCAGGACTGCTTGGATTGGAACAGCTGTGATGGGACTAACATTACTTGTGGCTACTGTCTAGTTTGTAGTGAGGTGTAACATGTAGTTTGGCTCTAAGCAAGTCCTGAGAAGAAACAAAAAATTAATGGCAAGGAAGAAACAGCAATTACCTTGGCTTCACTGCCACTGCTCTGCGATGATCCTTGTGTACTCTGAAAATGAATCAGGTATTTAAGATGATGATGAGGGAATGAATGAGGGAATTTAAGATTATGACGAGGGAATAAATGCAACCCAAACCTTTAATATTTAAAGATCAAAAAAGGAAAAAGAATTATTTCATTATAAACAGAGCTGCTCTGGAATTCATTTCAGTGGACCCTTTGACTATGCTCGAATGTAGCACAGGTTGGTTTAATTTTTAAGACATGGGAGAAGAGTTAAAAAGCCTTTGTGGAATCTTTGGCAAGTGATCTGTTTGAGCAGGCACCAAGAACAAATTCCTCTCTCTGTATTTGGGTCAAAACAGGAAGAGAGAAAATGGGAGAAAATGGAGGTGTGTGTCTTGGGGGGTAAAGTCAAACTGTTGGAGGGTTACAGCTGTAGAGAACAATACGGGAGAGACATGTTTCATTGCATCTAGGGCAGATGAAGGCATCCAGTTATACTGATGCAGATATGTCAGGAGCACAGACAGAAGACACACTAATAAGGACTGGATAATTTTATGCAGAAGAATGAGCCCGACACTTCAAACTTCCTGGAAAAAGCCTGTCTGAACCTGCAGCGTTTATGTGCAGAAGGATTCTTTAAAAATTTAAGACAAATGTGTATATAATTGTTGTGTCTTGTAGGGGACTAAGGACCTTTAAGGAAATAATGCTTACCTTGACACAACCACCACTGCTTGACTGTACTGCTCCAGCCTGAGAAAAAATAAGATTGCTTTGTTTTTTAAAGAACTTTGAGTTCTATACAACGCTGCTGTGGCGTTCGTACAGAGCCCCCGGTCGTCTCACGGACTATTGACCCATACACCACTAATCCGCTGCCACCAACCAGGTCCTCCCCGGTAAATTTCAGTCAGGTTCTCAAGTTAACAAAGAAGAGTGTAGTTTATTGCAGACACAAACAATCTTTAACTGCATTCCAAACGTTGTTACTCTTTACCTTCTTAGTCTTATTTTATCCTGTCTTTATCTCTTCTACCTCCCCTCACACAAGAACCCACTGCACTAACTGTATTTCTATTTCCAACTGTCAACTGCTTTTCTAACTGCCTTTCCCAACCAACTAACCACTCAAACCTCGGGCTAAGCCCTTTTATAAACAGGTAGGCTCCGCCTCCTGCTTTCCTATTGGTCTACATTTTAACCCTTTCTCTCCCTCCTGTACAGACATTTTCTAAACGAACGAGCAAACGCCACATCTGCTCTTCCAGTTATGCAGCAGACTCTTGTTTACGCAATGAAACACCCCACTTCTCTCCTTGTAGCCTCCCGCAGGCTAGTCTAGGGGAGTGCTACACCCCACTTCAGTATCTGTTGCCTGAGACATTTGCCTCATTTTGCCTAGTGGTAGGGCCTGCCCAGGGGTAATATTAAAAGGGACTTTGTGCCTTCCTTATGCATTTCAAGTACTATAGCACTCACGGCAGTGCAATGAAGCAGTGTTCTCAGCCCACTCATTTTACTTAACCAGTCAAACTGCATTATAGCCTTCTGTCAAGTACAAATACTTCTCTTTCCTAGTATAATTGGGTGGGCTTGTTCACACCAGGTAAAGAAAAGATTCGATTAACTCAAGCAGAGTGGGCTGTTCTAAACATTTCAGGAGCATGCTGAACCCAGGTGCATGCTGTTCTGTTTTATGAAATGGTACTGGTTGGCATCCGTCTGTCTCGGGAGACAAAGGAGGATGTAGGAGTGTGCCTTTGGGGGTGAGGTCAAGACGTTGGATGGTTGCAACTGTTGGTGTGGCTGTAGAGACCAATGCGGGAGAGACATGTTTTGTTACAGCTGGGGCAGATGAAGGTGTCCGGTTGTGCTACTGCACACCTGATGGGCGTACCCCAGTTATGGAACAGTCTTCCCAGAGAGTTTCGCCTTGTGCCACCCCTTTTAGCCCTTTCTATTTATCCAAATGTTTTAAATAACTTACGTAGCTGGTTCTCTCAGTTTTTAAATTTGTGCTTCAACTTTGGGGTTGTGGAGAGTTTTGTTTTCTTGTTGCTTTTCATTAAACGGTAAGATTTTATTTTACCTTGTATTCCCATTGTGTTTATACTTATTTAGGGTAAACCACACAGAGAACTTTATATTATGGGTGAGCTTACAGACACAGTAAATATATAAGCACGCAATTAAAAAGATCTTGACAGTGAGGGAAACACTGAGGAATCATTTTTAAAAAAGGTTCTTACCTCGCCACAGTTGACATTCACAGTCAGAACGGACTGAAAAGAAAAGAGATACAGCTTTGTAAAGTAGGGACTGTACCTAATAAATTGTTGCAAAGCTGTGAAGGAATACCTGGTGGTTCTGTAAGGGTGGATCTGCTTACAACAATTCCACCATGTTATTAGCCCTTCATTTTAGCAGCATTTGAAATCTGCAGCATCAACTGACGATTCTTCATGCATCACTAGCCACTTGCCAACCCGGACAATCGCCCACCAATGGGAAACTAACTAATACTGCAATTACTAGCTAACTGCCGGCTACTGGAATAGGAATACCATCACCACAGGGATGCTAGCGAAGATAGCATTCCTGTTATATGTTCCATTATTGATTGATTGATTGATTGATTGATCGATTGATCCGAGGTGTTTTTTATCCCACTCATAAATCCACACACTCATTCATGGGAGTACTGTTTATCGTGGCACCTCAGTGGTGAGGATGCACAAATCCCATCATTTTCACTTTACCTTTTTCTCAATCTTAAGTTTGGTTTGCCACCTTTCCACATACAATTAAGGGAAATAAATTGTGTGCACATTTGTTTGCATTTTCCTGTGTTTTTCTCCTAACATATACAGTTTTGATTTCTGCAAGCAATTCCTGCCCCCCCCAACACAATGCAATTTTGAACATAAATTCGATTGATAAACATTCTCGTGTGCACTTTTCAATTACGTACAAATTTCTGCTTGCATTCTTTGGTTGGAGGACTGCATCAGAGAAATGAGAACTTTAGAAGAGTACTGTGTTTTAGTTTGCATATTGGTTTGGCAAGTGCAACTTTTATAGGCTTATATTTAAGTGTGAACTGATTTAATTTTGTGCCCCACCCCCGCATCTCTGCTCCATGATATATGTAATACCCGCCACCTGAGAGCAGGGGCAAACTGGATGCTTGAAATAACTCAAAATAAAGGTTCTTAAGATCCTATTAATAATGTTACCAGTTCCTAGAATGTAGCCATATCTTATACTGTTCCAATAAAATATGTGCTAGAAAAATCATAAAATTTGACTTTTGTTACTGCCTGTTCCAGTGTTGCAACCTCAGCAGAAATTCTGACAGACTGGCATCTGATTCTGAATAAATGAATCCCTTCTAAAGGGTCTTCTCCATTTCTTAAGTTAGTGGAGTGATGTGGCAAGAAGCAGCCATGCAGAAGATACAACCACGCTGCTAAAGGAACATAATGGTGGGTCATATTCCAACATTCGTGATCAAGTGTTTGAAAAACATGCACTTGTTCTGTTCAGTTGAATTACGCCCCTCCTTTGGTTTGTAATAAGTATTTCACAAATACCTTCCTCTTGCTCTTTTCTGTGGCATTTTCTGTTCTGTCCGGCGTCGCCTCAGAATCAACAGGTATCTCATTGTCATAAACTGCCTCAGTGTCACCAAGGAGGGTGTTGAAATCAAAATCATCATCGTACTCCTCAGAATCATCAGTAATATCAGAAACCGTTGATGCCACAGAATCATTGGCTAGGTCTGAGCTATTGGCTGCCAATGAAACATTGATGGGTTTGGAATCACTGATGGGTTTGGAAGCATTGATGGGTGTGGAATCATTGATGGGTTTGGAAATATTAGCCACTTCTGAAAATCTGGGTGAGAGAGTTTTGCTATGAACGCCAACCCAATAGGTATCATAATCTTGAAGAAAAGTAGCCCTGAGAGGGGAGAAAAAACACCAAGAAATCATCACTATTTCTAGTGTGGAGGCTTTTCTCTAATGAGATATTATATATATATACATATATATATATCATATATATTATACATAAGATTTTTCTCTCGGGGGAATTTGCATTATACTTTTCAGTCCAGAATTATCTATTTCCCCAGCTACTCTGGGCGGGTTACAGCATATATAAAAACATAGTAATACATCACTATGTATTAGACTGAGGTCCAGCACCGAGGGGCTTCTGGCGGTTCCCTCACTGCAAGATGTGAGGTTACAGGCAGTGGGCCTTCTCTGTAGTGGCGCCCGCCCTGTGGAACACCCTCCCATCAGATGTCAAGAAAATAAACAACTATCTAACTTTTAGAAGACATCTGAAGGCAGCCCTTCCTTTAGGGAAGTTTTTAATGTTTGATTCTATTTTAAATATTTTGTTGGGAGCTGCCCAGAGTGGCTGGGGAAACCCAGCCAGATGGGCAGGGTATAAATAATAATAATAATAATAATAATAATAATAATAATAATCAAACATTAAAAACTTCCTGATACAGGGCCGCCTTCAGATGTCTTCTAAAAGTTATGTAGTTCTTTATCTCCTTGACATCTAAAGGGAAGGCATTCCACAAGGAAGGTGCCACTACCACGAAGGTCGTGCACCTGCCTGCATAAACATTTGTGATTTCCAAATATATGACCACACATGCAACCTTGATATATTTTGTTGCTTTTTCAAAGAAGAACTAAAGTCCCTCGATAAATATTGCATAGCAAGAAATCCACAACTTACATAAGGCGAATCTTATTCGTACCCTGAGGAGCAACCCAAGTAGTTGTGACTTTGCGTTTTACGCTGGGATTCGTGTGACTTACTGCTGAATTCTGAAAAGGAGAAGGCAAATGAAACAGAATCCAGACACACAAGTAAAAAACAACAACACAGCTCAAAAACAATATTTGAGGCAAATTGTTCCTCATGCTATAGTTGAAACAAGATCACTAATTAAGGCTGCAGTCCTATAGCTGCTTACCCGAGATTGGGAGTAACCCCACTGAACTCAACAGGACTTATTTCTGAGCCGATGTGTGTAGAATTGTGTCCTAAAAGTGCAATCCTATCCATGTCTATTCAAAAGTAGGTCCCATTAAGTTCAGTGGGGCTTACTCCCAGGAAAGCACTGGTACAGGATTACAGCCTAGGCTACTCTTACAGTTGAATGACCTTTTGACAGCATTTAAATCTGAAAACATGAAATTGATTTTCATACTTTGCAATTCGGCCTCTAATGCCGATATTAAAGTTTCATAAAATTTTGGCTCTGAGTTTTTATCTATCTAAGAAGGTGCTTCCAGAATGTTCCCTAATTGCAAGCCACCTGTAGGATAGCACCAGGTACTGACCACCAAATGTCAGGTGCCAGCAAACATTGACTGCTATCGCATTTCAGCTACCAGATACCATCAAAACCAATGCATGCACCATGCCACCATTAAATATCAAATATGTGCTGGATATTCAGTTTTCAAGAATATTTGCCATTAAAATCCACACAGGAAAATTTTGAGAAGCAAATTTATCCCAGCTCTATAAACACTTGTGTCCTAGGCAGATGCCCTGGCGGAAAACTGCCTTGCCTATCACAAATAGTTTGGTTATGAAAAAGGAGGAAGACGGATACCGTATTTTTCCATCTATAAGACGCCCCCATGTATAAGACCCCCCCCTATTTTGGGGGACTCAGTTTTAAAAAAAAAAGGAGAGATGGCCCAAAGTTGTTCAGCCTGTCTGCCCAGTCAGCTGTGGGCAGGAAACACCCCCCAGATCGCTCCCTGCTCACTGTGGCATCGGGGGAAGCCAAATGGCTGGTGGCGCCCCACATCTTCCCGCACCCCATGCCACTATCCATGTATTGGAGGACCCCCGTTTTTTGACATGATTTTTGAGTCAAAAAACCCTCATCCAATACACGGAAAAATATGGTACATCTTCCGTATTTTTAAAGAAAAGGAAGAAACAGAGCGATGATACATTCTGTTTTGAGGCTAATGAATACCACTCTGGCACCATCAAGACAGCAATTTCTCATGTTAAATGAACACATACCGTCATGTTGGCACATGGGTAGCCTTGCGTATTTGGATCCCTGATACGAAACATGCCAACGGGAACGTTGCCATCAATTTCCCGAGCCTGTACCATAAATGCTGTGAATCCAGCAGACGACGTTCCTTCTAGAGTCACTGGGGGGAACCAACAGATAAATTTAATCTAATGACTTTTAACAGAGTTAAACTACGCATCAGAATTTCCCCCCTTTGATCGCTTGGGTCCTTCATTTTTGCAGAGCAGGTTTGTCTCAGTCAGAAACTTTACTGGCTAAGTGATTGCAGCATTTAGAGAACCAGGATGATTTACATCCATGGCAATGAATAGCAATCGCCTCTGAATAGCTTCAGGAATCAGATATGTTCTCATCTCCAGTGTGTCTTCTGTGAGTTCATTACATCAAAGAAACACTGCTCTCATGAACAGGCCACATGCATCAGCATTTATTTCCATTTCCATTTCAAATTTGAGTTTAAATACCCAGGAAGAAGCTCAAATTCTCTGCTCAGTAACTCCTCCTGTGTTTTTCTGCACTGTGGAATTACAGCATTCAAACAACTGGACTCCACCACAGAATCCTGAACTATCTTTTGCTACCTAACCTAACTTGAAATAACAAAACGGTACAATAATCTAGCTGTAGAACCTTCCCATTTAAGGAATTCCCAGATCCAGTACATTTTTGTCTAATATAGTGCATTTTCACTAATATATGCTCTAATACATGATTTTTCGACACATTACCGGTACTTAACCAGAAAGCTGCAATTACGTACTTAACTAGAAAATTTGGAGAAGTGTGAATTTTGATGAATGGCTGTGTTTTGGTTCTTGAATTGTTCTGGAAGTGCATTTTATTTTATTACGGTCAATGACCAGTATAAATTTTTTTTAAAAAAACACCAATTACAAAATTTAAAAGCTCAAGGCAAGGTAAAATAATATAAAATCGCATATACATGAAAGAGCAGTTCTGGAAGTACAAATTTTGTGGTTTTGCTTTTTTTAAATGAACGGAATCACATTTCTCCACCATCCCTACTCTGATCCATAATGTTAGCATGTTATGTAATGTACCTTGTATTTCATTTCCTGGATCGTATCTATCAAATGATACAGAGACGACATAAGGTGGAGTTGATGTCTGTGGTCCTCCTCCACAATTCGGCAACATGGAGAAACAATCTATTGAAACATCTTTGTATGGAAAACCAAGGGCCTTGGGCAGGAAGACAGCACAAAAAATGACCACGAAGGAATAATACTTCTCCATCTGAAGAAAGAGAATAAAGCTATTTATAAGAAGGTGGAGAAACCATGGTTGACACCAATTTACAAATAACATTTAATTCAGTTAAATGGTAATGGTAATAAGAGTATGCAACTTCATTATATTCAGTTATTTGCTTGATTATGATTATATTAGTAAAAGTAATTTTATTATGGACGTAGCACTTTTGATAAGCAAACCTTACCTATTCAAACTGGACCTTGCTTGCGTATTTAGTATGTGAAAAAGCTCAATAGTATTTCTGTATTACAAGAGGGAGACCTAAGGACAAGAGGAAAAAGTCAGTATCTTTTGTCGTCAGTTGCTCAAACCCGCAAAAACCCAAAGTACAGTGCTGTTTCGGCTTCTACTGGACCTCACCAACTTTATCAATCCAAACTAAGTTTCACCAGATAATGTATGAGCTCTAGTATATATCTCCCACTTTTAAAGACCTGAAAATCCCAAGAGGCAGGCTTGCCCAAAATGGCCTCATGGTCCAAATGGAGTAGCGCAGCAGACCAAGAATGGCATACTGTGTGCATAAGTTCAGCTCTATGGATCTTGGTTAAGTTTCAGCAATAATAGTATATATTGTTAAAGCTATGCATTGTTATTATTGAATCTCATGTTGCTAATCTCCCCCCCCCCCCCGCAGTCATATGAAGCCCATATTCATTGAATTAAGAAACAGTTGACTTTTTCTGAACTTGCCTGCCTGACAGAACTAATCAACACAATAGTTTATTAAGGCAACCTATAACCACAGAGGTGGTTTACAGTTCTGGTTTAAATGCCAGAGGGCATTATATCTTGCAGTTGCCACAGAATAAGGGTGTCACACGTGCTCCCTTAAAACAGGGAGGTGGGGAATCTTTGAAATATTAGGGAATTAACCTAGTGTCTGTAAGAAATATGCAGACATCATCTTTGAAACTCTTTTCTTTAAATAAACAGCTGCTTGAGACAATCATGTTAGCTGGCAAAATCCATGAGGCAATCCGAAAGAAACTTTAGACTGCTTGGTTGAATTGCTGAAGGGCACTCCTGTCTGTAATTACCAAATTATGGGGTGCTGTTCTGAAGGGAAGCAGGTGGGGAGAAACCCTTTTGGGAATTAACCCTCTAATGCCTTAAGGAAACAGCTGAGGAAATAGTTCTCTGTCTGGAAAGAAAACTTTGGAACTGGAGGGTAGGGGGAAGCAGTAGAAAGAATGATGGAAAGTCACAACCCCACCAGGAATTTAAAGCACATTGCTTCCCCCGGAGAATCATGGGAAGTGTGGTTTACCCCTCAGAGCACTACAATTCCCAGCATTCTTAACATTTCGCACTTGGGAGTAGCAAGGTTTTTTGTTAGGGGGCAGGCCTTTTGTTAGGGGGGCAGAACTTCAAATTGCTATGTATTTTTATTGATTGGGGGGCAGCTGCCCCTCCTTGTCCTCACCCTTGGTTGGCTACACCCATGATTTCCCAGGATCCTTTGGTGGGGGGAGAGCAATGCTCTTTAAATGTAGGTTGTGGGTGTAGCTGGTGGAATGAAGCATGTTTGTGTCTGTTCTTCATTTAGCTACTTAGGTAGCAAACTGTTCATTCACATTTTCATCTTCAGTCGTATATTGTTGGCTGGGTTTATTTAGTTTGCAGCATGTTATGGTTTAAGAAAAAGATATATGAAAACGTTATATAGATGGCATCTAACACCTGGTAAATTAGCTAAAATATACAAATTCAAATCAAGTAGGTGTTGGAAATATAAAGAGAATAAAGGTACCTTTTTCCATATGTGGTGGGCCTGCAGTAAGATAAAAGCTTACTGGGAAATGATACATAATGAATTGAAAAAGAGGTTTAAGATAGCTTTTGTAAACAAACAAAAAAACACCCCAGAAGCTTTTCTTTTAGGAATTATGGGATTGGAGTTACCTAAGCACCATAAAATTTTATCTATGTATGCAACCACTGCTGCAAGAATGGCATTTGCCCAAAGATGGAAAGAGGAAGACATCCTGTCGAAAGAAGAATGGCTACAGAAACTAACGGAAAATGCAGAAATGACCAAACTTACTGGAAGAATAAGAAATCAAGATAACAAAGTCTTTAAGGGGGAATGGAAATCATTTATTGAATATTTTCAAATTCATCGTAAACAAATTAAGACATTAGCATGATTAATGTAAAATGTGCATTTTTTTAAATAAAAAAGAGAGAAATGGATGAATATAAAATAGATTTAAATTGAGATATGTAGGAAAATAGAGTAAATATAAGGAACCACAGAAGGAGGGAGAGGGAAGTCGAAATATGATATGTAAAGATGATTCTGTTTGAAATGTTTCTCATAAATGAAAATTATAAATAAGAATAATAAATATTTAGTTTCATTCTTGCTGCAAAGGAGGGCCGGCCATGTGTCGTGTTTCCTAAAAGTGTATCAAAAATTGCTCAGGAATTGCGTGTCGAGGTCCCTAGGTCCACCCCAATAACTCACACATCACACAGAAATTTTTGTTTAAGATTTTTGGCATAATTTTGGCCACAACTTTATTAAAATACAAATTTGTGAGTGGTTGCGTAGGCATTGGTTGCGACTATCTGCCCCCACCATGGGGGACAGACTGACATTCCGCACTATGCGAAAGTCAGAATGGGGGAATGCACTTGGGGGTTACGCGGAGCAGGGAACCTGCCCTCACCCCAAATGCAACCAGGAGCTCATTGCTATGGCCCGAGCCCCCTTGACAGAGTGGACAAGCAATAGTTAGCTCCCAATTCCTTTAATGGAATCCCTTGCAGCAGCAGCATTAGAGGGGCAGGCACAGCCAATCCATGCCCCTCAACCAACCAAACCATAAACCAATGCCTAACCGTGAACCTTACAAGTTGTGATGATTTGCTACGCAGTAGGCAAAAACCAAATGGCCCCAGCCAATCAGCCAGATGGACAAAATTCCCACCAGGCCCCCGCTCCAAAGCAGATGACCCCATGACAGGCATAGCAAGGTCAAAGCGAACAACCCTATTCTAGGGAGGGAGGGATGGGCAATCCGATGCACGTGCGAAAAGAGGAAGCCCTAGTTTTACTATTTCTGGCTGTCAATCAATAAATGGCAACATTAACTTCTTCTCAACAACAAGGGAAGCCCCAATCGCATCAGTGGCCAACGATCAATTAGCCCGCCCCCAACTTTGGAGTGTCCTGGCGGCCCCCACCGCAACACGTGCTCTCCATGAAGGAGAACACGCTTTCTCAGAGGTCATGTAAGAGAAGGCAGGAGGAAGTTGATTGGATATCCACAAGTCACCTGACTTCCTAGGTGAAAGAGTTCTACTAACACCTGCAATTCCAACTCCTGTGAGCTGTCATGGCAATATAGTGAGTAAGTAATCGGTATACCCAGTTTAAGCCCTGAGTTAGAGCTCTTTTGAAACCATTTTCATCTGACTCATAAAGCTGATATACTTGATTCTGTTCTAATTATAGTGCACCCAAATGCACTTTAAAAACAGGAGTTTGTGCTTCTGTTTCTCTTAGGTAGTGAGTCTGTCTCCCCACACTAATTGTCACACTACTAATGACACACAGACTCACACACACACAATATATGTGTACGTAGTTGCATGGCTGATTCAGTCCTTAGACTTGAGACTCTCCTCAGGTTTCAGATGAGCGTTTTGTTTATTTACATTTATTCAGTTAGACGCACATTCATCCATTAACTTCTTATTATTATTAAAAGTGCCCAGCAACTCCTTGTTATTATTGCAAATGGTGCTCTGGCAAATGGACAGGGGGAGGCATTTTGTAATGACACAGAGACCAATCCAATCTGTGCTGTTCACTGACAGCTTCGGCAGCGAACTAACAGAACCAGTTCCAATTAAGTTCAGTCCCAAGCACAAAATTGTTGGTCCAACATGAAGCCGAACGTTCTTCTAAAGTGTTTTGCTACTCAAATTAGTCTGTGTGTACCCATCGATACTCTGACTCCATGGCATTCAAATTAGCCGGTCTGGAAAAACTGGTAAACAGGAATGCTGCTTAAGATACTCAATAGATTTACATGCTCTGGCTTGTCACCAAATAAATGACAGACTCTGGGGAAAGTCTTCTTGATCCTTCATTTCTGACTGGGAGCAGACTGGCTGAGATATATGTAAGTTATGTGGCTGCTTGGAAGCAGAAATTAAGCTGGGCAAAAATGGTGAAGTCTTACAAAACACTCTGTTATACCCTCCGACATTTCTTTTTTAAACTGGAGATGTTAGGAATTGAACCTGGAACCTTCTGTATGGAGAGCATGGATGGCATCCAACTAATGTGCTTTCATCACAAGGAACTTGCTCTGCTCTTTCCCTGCTCATGCTCCACATCATCCCCATATCTGCTCTAGAGGGCTGAGGGAACCTCCAGAACTGTTTTAGGGGTGTGTGCAAAGGTGGAGAGGCCTAACCCTAACATCCTGTTGCACAAGCAGAATTCCCTGAGCTGAAGGAACAAGTTAGCTGGGTACCACCCTGTGTGTTCAGCCACTGAACCGTGGTCTTTCCAGACGTGTCACAACAGCTCTCCAATGGGCACCTTGAATCACACTCGCCACAACCACATCCCACACAACAGGGATCACACTCGCCACAACCACATCCCACACAACAGCAGGACATGTCCCAAAATCCTTGCATTAAAGATTCAACAAATGCAAAATACAGTGGTACCTCGAGTTAAGTACTTAATCCGTTCCGGAGGTCTGTTCTTACCCTGAAACTGTTCTTAACCTGAAGCACCACTTTAGCTAATGGGGCCTCCTGCTGCCGCCGCGCCGCCGGAGCCCAATTTCTGTTCTTATCCTGGAGCAAAGTTCTTAACTTGAAGCACTATTTCTGGGTTAGAGAAGTGTGTAACCTGAAGCGTATGTAACCTGAAGCATATGTAACCCGAGGTACCACTGTATATTGAACACATACACGAAATGGACCCCAAGCAGTGAAAACTCAAGTACAGTGGTACCTCGGTTCTCGAACGTCTCCGTTGACGAATATTTCAGAACCCAAACGGCGAAAACCCGGAAGCAAATGCTTCTGTTTTCAAAAATGCCTTGAAAGTCGAACGGTTTCCGCTGCATGTTTTTCAATTTTCTCAATTGAATTTGCAGGCGGTCCTTTGCGCTTTGATTTTCGAATGTTTCGGAACTCAAACAGTCTTCCAGAATGGCTTACGTTCAAGAACCGAGGTACCACTGTATAGGCCAGATATGTGGCTCCGATTCCTGCCATCTCAGCCTATCAGCACAGGCAAAGGTGGAAGGCCAGAAGAAGGGATGGGAAGTATTGCTTATCATGAGACCTTTTGCTGACTCTGACGCAAGCCAGCCAATGCTGGAAAGGCACTGGGACCTTTGACATAGGGCCAGTTATATTGCAGATGGAGGAGAAGTTATTCTCTATCACAGTGTGGAGTCCAATTCCAATGACCCTGTTGGAGATCAAGGCAGCCTTTTCCCTAGGACCATCACTCAGGTAGGAGATCTTGATCTCTGACAACAATCCCACTACCGTTGCCATTGCCAGAGGAGAGGCAATGCGTATCCACCCAACACCAAGACCAGTGCAGAGATAGAGTTTGGGTTGACCTCACGCTCCATGACTTACTGCTTAGACCCTCCCCATGAGGAAATACACTTCAGTGAAGTGTAGGCACGAGTATTCAGTGTAGCTAGTGTAATAGTTCTTTTTGAGGAAGTGGGGTCAAGGGAATCTTGGCAGCCAGGAAGAGAGGCCCAGTGTATAGACTAGCCACTGCAGAACCACTCTAAACATCGACCCGTCTTATTCACAGTCCTTCTCCTGTGGGACAGGGAGCGGTCAGCTCAGAGGTTGTGCTCTGGGCAGCAGCTCCCTTCAACCCTTGCTTTGGGCTCAAACGATTGACAAACTTGCACATCTGTCTTCGGTGCTCAGTAGGATCCTTCATCTTGCAGGGGATCTCACATGTCTTCTGGCCTGAATTGCCTCAGCAGAACTCTCAACAGGCGTTTCCGGGCCCAATATGAAACGTATACTTTGGGCGATCCCACTTTCTTCCAGATGCATGAAGATTACCAGGAGGGGCCCACAATGAATGCACCTGAACAGGTCTGTGGGCCTGTTTCTCGGTCACAGCAACAACCCACTCTTTTTTCAGCTGGTTGGACTAGGCTAGCAATGTTGTGCAAGGAAATCCAAATGCAAATTCAGATTGAGAAAGAAATGTGTATATTTCCCATCCGAGAACTTGTGCAATTCGGAGTGAAAATAAAGAGCAATTTCGTTGAAGTAAAGTACCGTAATTGCCTGCATTCTTCAGATACATGGAGATAATTCCTGCTTAAGGCCATTGAATTTTATGTAGGAAGTGGAGGCATTAAGATTTCTCTTCCTTCAATGAACTGTATGTTTCCATATTCTTTCTCTTGCTGTTAACAGAATGTATGCCCAATTGCCCATCAATCTTCACATTTAACTTGGCTTGACTTTATAGGACTATATACACCATAAACCTGCATTATCTGCATTAACTTTTCTCAGCTACTTGATCCTCAACATCTTGGTTTAACCCCTCAGTTAATAGTAACAACAAATACCTTAAACATGCACTCAGTTATGTCACCTTTCCATCCCAAACTTTACTTTCTGAATAAAATACAACCCGAACAAGCCAGTTTGGGTCCACCTATCGGGGTTCAATTTCAAAGCCTGGCTTTATTCTCCAGTTGAAAACATTTCAGTCAAGACATTCCATTAAGTACAATTCAGTGTCTATGAAAATCAATGGTGCAAGGGGAAACTGTTTAGAATTCCAGCAACCTACCTTAATAATCCTGTTTCTGGTCAGCCTTGGTACTTGTGGCTCTGTCCTGCAACCTTGTAGTGTAGGACTCTGAGAGCAATGTAACAAATAGCAGGGAAGAACTGGGTGTCTCAGCCTGTCGCAAGGCAGAGGATGGAGAACAGCCCATTAATGACACCTTAGCCTCCACCTCAGAAATTACCACATGGCAAATGAAATCATCTATGGCAGTAGTCATTCTTCTTTCCCTAACCTTGAAGACACTTTCCTTCCTTCTGTGATTTGCAAAGGTTGATATTTAAAATTGCTTGAACTGCATTTGCTGCTTAAAGTTGTAACAGTTTGCCAAATCAAAGCTTCAGCTTTGTTGTGTTGTTTTCAACTTCCCAAAGTCTTTCTCCTCACAGGGGGGAAATAGAGCAAACCTGTACCCCAAAACTGACAACTTTAAAGCTGTTTCTATTTTAGCTGTAAGCCACCTTGAGTCCCTGACAAGGAAAAGGCAGGATATGAATAAATACATTTACTACTAATCTGTGCCATTTTGTGTCAGGTGTTACAAGGAAGAGACATCACAGGAACTAATCTACATCTCTTCCAATGTCTGGTTTGACCCTAATTCTCACATTTTACTCAAGTGTTGTTGTTGGGGCTTTTTTTGTATCCACAATCCACTCATACTTTGGGGGTTGTGCACAGGTGTAAATCATGTGGCCGTTACAAAACAGCTTTGCAGCATATGGTTATTTTGAGCTTGTGGTAAATACCTTAGGGGTGTGTAGTTACGAAATGGAGTTTTATGTGTGAAGTGAGCTTCCTAAAAACCGTGAGCCCATCCAGGAATGGCTGTGGGAGGGGACACTGTTTTTTGCAGCTCAGCCTACATAATCCTGGTAAGAGAATATTGGCAGCAATGCTATTCAGCTGTTTGGGAATTGGATTTAGTCTCTAAAGTCTTTCGTTGAGAAAAGCAATGACAAACCTTGACAAACCTAGACAGCATCTTAAAAAGCAGAGACATCACCTTGCCAACAAAGGTCTATATAGTTAAAGCTATGGTTTTCCTAGTAGTAATGTATGGAAGTGAGAGCTGGACCATAAAGAAGGCTGATCGCCAAAGAATTGATGCTTTTGAATTCTGGTGCTGGAGGAGACTCTTGAGAGTCCCATGGACTGCAAGAACATCAAACGTATCCATTCTTAAGGAAATCAGCCCTGAGTGCTCACTTGAAGGATAGAACCTGAGGCTGAGGTTCCAATACTTTGGCCACCTCATGAGAAGAGAAGACTCCCTGGAAAAGACCCTGATGTTGGGAAAGATGGAGGGCACAAGGAGAAGGGGACGACAGAGGATGAGATGGTTGGACAGTGTTCTCGAAGCTACCAGCATGAGTTTGGCCAGGCTGTGGGAGGCAGTGGAGGACAGGAGTGCCTGGCGTGCTCTGGTCCATGGGGTCACAAAGAGTCGGACACGACTAAACAACTAAACAACAACAACAGTTTTTCGTTCCTCAAAACAGCAGGTTGGTGCCTTTCTCCTGACCTGGCTTGAATTGGAACAGCAACCCTAGCTGCAGCATGTGAGGATTTGTGTGTTTCTGGATCAAAGCCTACAGGTTTCTTTTGATGAAGCAGAGACCATGTTACTTCTCACTTTCCTTTAAATGTCAGCTTTCCCATGCTCCCAAAATGACCGTGTCCCCAACCTGATGCCCTTCAGCTGTTGTTGAAATCCAACTCCATCAGCCCCAGCTGAAAGGAAGGAACCAGGATCGCCTTTTCTAGGAAATGTTGCAAGAGCTCTACCTGCTGCAATCAGGTGCACATAAAGTCATAAGTATTTCCTCTTCAATGGGTGCCTGTGAGCTTCAAGGATGCATCATAATTTTAACAGGGATGACTTCCTTAGCACTTACAGAAGACAATTGTTGCTGACATCAGTTCGTAAGTTGCTATAGCAGCTGTTAGCCAGAGCAGTCAACACCTTCCCCAAACACATAAGTGATGTACCCTGTGGCTTATTCCTCTCCTGAAGATATGCCACAGGGCAGTGGAGGTTTAGGGTCAGTTTTCCTTCTCCTAGATGGGCTATCTTCCCAGGTTGACGAGCCATATCACTTCCCCCTACAGCACATGCAGAAACTGCTTTCTTGACTGTTGGGCCTACTAGTGGTTGCTCAATCTGCCAGATCCTGTTTACGCATGCAAGGAAAGTCCCTAACTCACCAAGGATTTGAGACCAATCATCTGATTTAGCTGGAGTCAAAGCTGTTTCCCGGGGTGTGGCCACTGTCCCATGCTGACAGCTTCTAGGAGCCACAAGTGAAAGATGAGTGGGGACCATAGGTGAACAAACTACCCCAGAAGGAGTATGGCATGCCCTCCACCAGAGTTACTACCCCTCCCCTAACACTCCATACACCCTGTGTGAAATATATATACAGTGGTACCTCAGGTTACATACGCTTCAGGTTACAGACTCTGCTAACCCAGAAATAGTGCTTCAGGTTAAGAACTTTGCTTCAGGATGAGAACAGAAATCGTGCTCCAGCGGCGCGGCAGCAACAGGAGGCCCCATTAGCTAAAGTGGTGCTTCAGGTTAAGAACAGTTTCAGGTTAAGAACGGACCTCTGGAATGAATTAAGTACTTAACCTGAGGTACCACTGTATAACAAACTTGCAGAAGCCCATATTTCCATGTACTTAGTTGGACCTTATGAGCAGTGCTATTTTTCTGGAAAAAGAGGTGCCAGAACTCACCATGACCACCTCCCTTGTTCTCTTAGAATGCCAATGGTGCCCACCTGAGAGGTGCTGGAACTGAGTTCTGGCAAGTTCTGGCTGGAAAAAAAGCCAAGTCAAGAGTATGAGCTTCATGTGACATCATTCATAACTAAGGTAAACTGGATGCCTCACCCCATGATGTCAGGAACCAGACTAACGGGTATTGCTCTGAGGAAGAATGGTGGGAGCTCCCCTCTCCCTCTGCTCAAGGGCCTAATCCTGAAGCTCCTCTGGAGCAGGAGGATAGTATTGACCTAGAGCAATGGTTCGCGGAAGGACACAGTTCGGGAACTGACAGTTGGGCTGAGCTGGGAGAAGAGCAACCAAGGGAAAAAGAACAGGAAGAGAGAGAGCTGGCTGAATCTCCTTCACTAGAAAGTATGCATCCCGTGAGCCCAAGAGCCAGGCGTCTGGATAGGGCAGCCTCTCAGAAGGCTCAGTGGTGGAGGGATCATGCGGTGAGGAGATGGGAAGACGGAAGTAACTAGAGGGAAGTGGGAGGAACTCAATTATCTCTCAATCATCTGCACTGTGAGAATGAATGCTCAATGTTAGTGCTGTGTTCAGTAAACCTCTCTGTTGCTGCAAAAGACTGCTTTCGCTTCCTGCTGTTATCTACAGAGAGGCGGAAGGTAAGCCTTGACGCATAAGTAGAGTAGATGTCCTCCTCCCTGTTAAGTGGAGGAGGTTACCTCTGTGCTGCGCAAGCAGGACTCTTGGAGGCAAGATGACTTACTTGCCAACCCTGCAGAATGAGAAGAGCTGGGTGTGTGGACACTGTGTACAAAACCTATTATCTCTCCATCACTTGCCATCCTGTGCTGCAATTGCTCAGGTGATACCAGATCATTGTTTCCAAGGGAACAACACAGGGCAACTTGGCTTTCTGTCATTTTTATCCTGATAATCAGCCTGTGCTCTGCTGGCTCCAAAATCAGTTTCATTGAAAGTGCTTTGAGGCATGTCCAGCCAAGTGTCACTATGTCTTAATTTTAAGACATAACTGCCAAGAGGTGCGGCTTGGAAACACAAGGAAGCCCAAGCAAATCATGCTATATTACACAAGTTTATTTTAAGTTACAGCACGGATCAACAGCTGTTGTTTCAATAGAGTCGTCTAGTTGCTTCTTATAAAGATGTGTATTATTAATATAGGGTTATGAATGCACTGGTAAGATTACAAAGCTGACTGAAAGAACCCAGTTTAACTTCCTAGTCAGAACTGGCCAATTGTAACTGACCCTGCCATTAAATCAATTTTTAACACAGCGCTGCTCCTGCTTCTTGTTCTGAATAGTTTTCAGTGAGAATGTGAGACCTACACTAGCAAAAATGCTCATTCAAATTTTGAACAGGATTAACCTGTGGACCTTAAGATGTAGATAATTTCAGCAGTATGGGTCATTGTTCACTCCCAATGCATTGTTTATTTCCTCAGGAGGAAAAGAAGGGGAAGTCCAGTCATGTAATGTTGGATACCATCCAAGGGGCATAGCCGCCGCCTTCTCCTCAGCATAACATTATTTGCCACTTCTTTTATTGGGGTGCTGGGCTCCCTCTGAGACACCCTGACCCTGCAGAAAATGTTCTCTGGGGTCCTGCTGGCCATCTTTAGCATGGGGCAGCTGCAAAAATAGATGAATGCAGTCTTCCGTTCCACCAAGTGGGATACTATGAGACACTATTGTGGTGATTTGGTCTTCAATAATATTTTGGACTTTCCCCCCCAACAAACGTTTTCCTGCTGCAGAGGTGAAAGGTTCAGAGACTGGCATGTGAATCCCTAACATTCCTGCGACAGCAGCAACCCTCTGTCCTGTGGGCTGCCCTACATTTGCTGTATCAAGAAGGGTGGGTTAATGATGATGATGGTTGTATTTTTATTCTTTGTAACCAGGCCACGGGTGGCACTGTGGGTCAAACCACAGAGCCTAGGACTTGCTGATCAGAAGGTTGGCGGTTCGAATCCCCGCAATGGGGTGAGCTCCCGTTGCTCGGTCCCTGCTCCTGCCAACCTAGCAGTTCAAAAGCACGTCAAAGTGCAAGTAGATAAATAGGTACCGATCCGGCGGGAAGGTAAACGGCGTTTCCGTGCGCTGCTCTGGTTCGCGAGAAGCGGCTTAGTCATGCTGGCCACATGACCCAGAAGCTGTACACCGGCTCCCTAGGCCAATAAAGCGAGATGAGCGCCGCAACCCCAGAGTTGGCCATGACTGGACCTAATGGTCAGGGGTCCCTTTACCTCTACCTAACCAGGCCATCTGATTGGATTGCTGCAGCCACTCTGCCCAGTTTCCAACAAATATAATAAAACATCAAAGATTGAAACTTCCCTATACATTATCCTGCTGGTCCTAGCATTGTCCAGCTCTGGATGCTGGAACCAGTAACGCCAAGATCCCCACAGTCTCAACCTGTCTCAGGTTGTCAGAGCCATTTTCCTGCATTGCAGTTGGTTGGGCCAGGGTCCTTTCCATCTCTACAATTCCTCGATTCTCTCCGCTACCTTCATTTGAATATTGCTGTTCTCATCCCCCTAAATAGTACTGATTTTCTGTATTCCAAATATCAAAAGTCCCAGTACATCTGATGCAATGAAAGAAATGGCAAGAAAATAAGGTACTGCCTAAGAGCAACTCCATACGAGAGGGGGGGGCGGTTCGCAGGGACAGCGGAGGGAGAAATAATAACATTGTGAGCTCGTATAAAGTTCTCTCTAGCTGCAGAAAAGAGCACATAACACATCAACAGTTTGTTCTGCACTCATGATATTGTTGACCAGATTTAACATAATCTGAAGCCCGAAATCTAGATACTTTAAGACAGTGTTTCCCAAACTTGGGTCTCCAGCTGTTTTTGGACTACAACTCCCATCATCCCTGACCACTGGTCTTGCTAGCTAGGGATGATGGAAGTTGTAGTCCAAAAACAGCCAGTCACCCAAGTTTGGGAAACACTGCTTTAAGAGGAGAGCTCCTTCTGTCAGTGGATTATAACAGATTGCTAATTATCTGCACATGAATGCCAGCAATTACTACTTCCTTGGCCTGGAGGATGTGAGGTTGCCAGCAAGCTATGCAATGAGGCAACGATGATTGGTACAAACAATAGCGAATACCTATAATCATTATTGTGCTAGCGTTTTAATGGCCATGGATGGAAGGCAAATTATGAAAGGGGTCTCCTGTCTTACCAACAGAGGAAGAGAAGTGATGCACAGGGTAGGAATGTTCATCCTATTTCAGGGTTTGTCCATTTCCCCCCTCGTCAAGGATGTGCTGCGGTTCTCTAGAGATTAGCAGATCAAGTTGCCTTATATCCTGTGGGATAGCTCAGACAGCAGAGCATGAGACTCTCTTGGGTTCGAGCCCCACGTTGGGCAAAAAGATTCCTGCATTGCAGGGGGTTGGACTAAATGACCCTCATGGTCCCTTACAATTCTATATTATCAGATCACTGGTCCACCAAGGCCCTGTGTTGCTGCACTGACTTTTAGTAGTCCTCCAAGGAATGGGGGGACGGCCGGCGATTCTTTCCTAGCCCTATACAACAAAGGCTACAAAACAGAAGAGAATAATAAAAAATCACAAGAGCATTCACTTTAGTTTCCGTGCATGTCCCTTCATAGTCAATACTGGCTCCCCCTTCTCACAGCTTTATATATTTCACCTGGGAAAACAGGTTTAAAAATAGTGAAGAATGAAGAAACAATATGGATAAGATCAACAGGAAATATTTGGGACATAGAACTCCTCTTGCGGGGGGGGCAATTATTGAATGTGTTAATTTGAATGGAAGTCAAAAACTCTGTAGCTGTCAATAAGGGATTAAGATCAAGACTGAATGTAATTGGATTAATTACCGTAAGACTCGGAAGCAGGATGAAATAAAATCATCTCACCTTGAAATCTAGCACGCAGGAAGTCATACAAAGTGTATAACTGGCTATATAATTGATATATATTTGAATTTGAATTGTAATTTGACATTGGTAAAATGTGGTTTATATTGGATTTTAATAATAAATATTTATAAAATAAACAAATAAATACAGTCATACCTCAAGGTTAAAGTTGCTTCAGGTTGAGCGTTTTCGGGTTGCACTCTGCGGCGACCTGGAAGTAACGGAACGCATTACTTCCGGGTTTCGCCGCTCGTGCCAACGCTCAAAATGATGTCACACGCATGCACAGAAGTGGTGAATTGCGACCCGCACACACATGGCTTGCGTTCGCTTCAGGATGCAAAAGGGGCTCAGGAACGGATCCCGTTTGCATCCAGAGGTACCACTGTAATAGTGAACTACTGCTATGGAAAGAAGAGATGGAAAGTTCCTGCTATTTCCCCCTCTCTCTTCCATAGCAACTTGGGTGAGAACAAGAGGAAGGACTCCAGTTGTCCCACCTGCCCTTACAGCCTTGACTGGGCTGGCCCTACTATTAGGCAGAGTGCAGTGACTGATATGCTTGGTGGGGGAACTGGGTAACAATAGCTCCAACCACTGCCCCCAAGCACCTTGAACTCGCAAGCCCTGTGCCCCCTAAACTAGGCTGCTGGCCTCAAGTGTTGATCTCAGTGCTGAAGTTAAGATTCAATGGCTGGTTGGGTTGCAATCTGTATGTGGACCAGGAAGGGGCTAATTCTTATTCTTTGCATAAGACACCAAACATCTTGGGCGGCAACTCTCCAAATCCTGAAGAGTTATAGCCAAGCTTCCTGAGCTGTTCTGAGCTGTTTGTGTAGGGAAGTTGTAGGAAAACAGAAGACCTGCTTGCATTTGCAAGAGAGAATGCCACTTGTCGCTGAACGAGACTTTTATTTCAACAGATGCAAAAAGAATTGCATTTAATCATATAAAATCTGAACAGTACAAAAGGAATATTTAAAAATCAGCATATGAATAATAATACAAAAGTTGATCATAACATTGATGCTGGTTACAGATAGGTAGCCGTGTTGGTCTGCCATAGTCAAAACAAAAAAAAAATTCCTTCCAGTAGCACCTTAAAGACCAACTAAGTTAGTTCTTGGTATGAGCTTTCGTGTGCATGCACACTTCTTCAGATACACAGCACCTTAAAGACCAACTAAGTTAGTTCTTGGTATGAGCTTTCGTGTGCATGCACACTTCTTCAGATACACAGAAGAAGTGTGCATGCACACAAAAGCTCATACCAAGAACTAACTTAGTTGGTCTTTAAGGTGCTACTGGAAGGAATTTTTTTTTTTGTTTTGATTGATGCTGGTGTTTTGCTTTGGATTATTACAGGCGTAAGAATTAACATGCTGTACCAGGCCAAGGTCTACATAGCCAAATGGACTGTTCCCACTGGGGCTGTCAACAACCCAGGGAAAAAATGGAGCTCTCCTCCCCTCTTTCTGGCCACTGTTGCCAAGAAGAGAATAGGCTGGGTAGCTCAATCAGAGTGTGGTGCTGATAACTCTAAGGTCGCATGTTTGATCCCCGTATGGGACAATTGCACATTCCTGCATTGCAGAGGGTTGGACTGGATGATCCTCAGGGTCCCTTCCATCTCTACAATTTTATGGTTCTATGTATTCAGAGACGGGGGGGCGAGGCTAAACAGCAAGTGCTGTCTTGTGGAGGAAGACCACAAAATTCCCCTTGGACATTGTTGAGGATTGCAGATTGAAGGCAAATAACACAATGCAGGCATGTGGGAGGCAAAAAGAAGTCGTCATCTCTTCTGTGCTGGATGGCTGGAATGAGCAAGCAGCAAGGAAGAGGATGAAGAACAGAGAACGAGGCTCAGGTAAGGGGCAGCCAGCCAGTATTGCATTTAGACTGCAGAGCCAAATGGATTCTAAAATCATAAATCTGTGCTTCGACAGCTATCATGATTAGTGTTACATGTGAAACATCTTTCTATTGCTAACGGTTTTTGAACACTGGCACAGAGTTGTAAAATGTGACAAAACATTTGCAGCTTGGGACGATCCAAGGTCTTGCCAATAGCTGCTGGACTAGATCAGTAATTTAAGGAGAGCAAAACCATGGGAGAAAACATTAAGAGAGTAATGTGATTAATTTGGGGGTTGTCATAATTAAATATATGCCATGCCCCAGTAATTGTTCACTGATGAAAGAGCTCCCTAGCACAACTCATGTCAAGAAATGTGACCACAGTTTGTGTTCTTCCTCTGAAATGAATGGAGCAGTCTGCAGAGGCGAGAGATCTGTGCAGCTGACCACACAGGCACTGCAGTCTTAATCAGACATGCATTCCAAAGCAGCCAGTAGGGTTTACTTGCAAATAAATGTTTGCAGGGTTGCAGCCTCAGCGTGGTAGAAAGAGCGTGTTGATTGTACTTGCATTTGTCAAGTTAAGGGGAGTACTAATGAAGCCTCTGTAGTACTTAGAATTTCTCTGAGAGTGAAATTGTAAATCCAGCCTTAAATTTAAAGTAACAGAATAACTGATTAAGATGGCATCATAAAAGAGGGGGGGGGGAGAGTTTCTCTTGCCATGGCTTGAAAAAGAAACCCTACCAATATCCAAATGTTGATCCGGTACGTCAAACATGGTCAGGACTAAAGATGCATTTCATGTCAACACACTCACGCACTTGGGATCTGCCATATTTGGCTTCATTTGTAAATTAGTTTCCTTCAGAATCATTATCAAACAACTTTCATGATCAGTGTTGATGCCTTTCAACAAGTTGTCAGTACATCCAGGTAGACAATTGCACAGAGGAGGTCGGAAATTTCTGTCTGGGTAGAAAAAGAGCAGAAGCCATTTTCATTCTTCCTCCAAACGGGAAACCGATTTTAAGAACTTCCAATACCTATAAGCAGAGCTATTAAAAATGCCAGGTTGCCACACAGGTACAACAGCAGCAGTATCACTTCACTTTTCACCTAGAAAGGAAACAAAATTAAAACAATGAAAATTCTGCTTAACAGTTATACGTTTTTGAATTTTATTTCCGCAGTTTGTACGCAGCTTAATCACAATCTCTACGTGATATACAGTTTGAGATCTTCCATGAGAAAGATCTGTTCACTATACAGTGGTACCTCAGGTTAAGAACTTAATTCATTCTGGAGGTCCGTTCTTAATCTGAAACTGTTCTTAACCTGAAGCATCACTTTACCTAATGGGGCCCTCTTGCTGCCGCTGCACCACTGCTGCGCGATTTCTGTTCTCATCCTGAAGCAAAGTTCTTAACCCGAGGTACTATATCTGGGTTAGCGGAGTCTGTAACCTGAAGCGTCTGTAACCCGAGGTACCACTGTATTCCTTTTGAACGGCTCATCGATGTTCATAAAAAAGAGAGAAGACCTAATAACTGTGGCCTGGCCAGTTTGTCAACACCACCTGCCCCCTTCCTGAAGCAACTTAGCTTTTTTAGGCTTCCTCCAGACTTTTTTTGGGGGGGGTATTATTCTGCAAAATGCCATTGATGCAATAATACTGCATTAGTGGTGGGTTTATACTGGACTGTCCACATGCCATTCCACATTATGAGTTTTTTCTGTGATGCTGCCCCAATGTTGTTGGATTCTTGCTGTCTGGAAGGGCACTCATGTGCTGCAGCGCAACAAAAGCAGGCCAAATAAATAAATAAATGCCAGAATATTTGTGATTGCAAGGCTTCAACAGGAAGTTACAGGGTGCACACCGACTGGAAACAAAGTAGTATAACTGCCTCCAAACTTTTGCAGGTGCACATATAAGCACTCCAATACTCTCTTGAGCACAAATCATAATACATGCATAATAAAAATAATGCCTGGAGGGTTCTTTAAAGTGGGGCGGAGGAGGACTGGAACCCCATACATAGAGTTAGCTAGCAACATTTTCAATATTGTTTGGTTTTCCCAATAACCTTCTGGTTTAGAGCTTCCATTCAAGTAGAAATCTAAGAAAACAAAACACTGCAAGAACAAAAAGATTACCTTGGTGTTTGAATCTTCATACATTTCTGTAAAACACAAAGCAAAACAAAAAACAGAAATGTTATTAATTCCTACTTGCATGCTTTGTTAAGAAAAGCTTTTATACATAGATCCAAATCAAGCTTCACCTTTCTTTTTCAACCACAGAGTTACATCCATCAGGATAGCAGCTAAGACTTCCCAGGCCACAAAGCCTCCCATTGTTTTAACCATCCATTGGCTAGGAGAGCTGCTGAGCATCTGCAGTCCCAGAAATATGGCGGCAACTAAAGAAGGAAGAGGCGAGGCATTAGATGACTGACCTTTCCATGATCCAAATGGAAACTTAACACCACAAACAGGTTGCTATCCTATCACGAAAGAGTCATTAGGAACAGGGTTGGGCTGTTGTTGTTTTTAACATCAAATTTTCCTCGCAAAGATAAAATCTGAATCAAATGGGGGTGGGGGAGGTTTAGGGGCAGCATATTGGCATCCATGACATTGTGTGAACATTGTTGCATGAATGAGGAACACTGATACCACAGCATCTGGAAGCACCTACAAACACATGTGGGAAAATAGCCTGTTGGAGACAGATTGGCTGGTTATTTTTGATAATAATTTTAAAAAAACTAGGCGTAATATTCAATACATTTCGTCCCCCAGCTACAGGGCGCAAATGGTACAGGAGAAGTTTTATCACCATCCCCACCGGATTCATAAAATGTCCCTGAAATCCTGCCTCCTTGAATTTTTATATTTTGGGTAGTGTTCAGCTAACACCTTGCGCACGTGGAATGACTTCCGCTTGCACAATGAGAATGTTTCCACCTCTCTCTGTGCATGCCCTGCACCCTCCCCAAATCTGCTCGGGGGGTGTGTGTGAGAAAACTCCAGAACAAAATTAGGAGGCCCATTCTACAGGAAAGGGCAAAAGCCTTGTACAAGCAAAAGGTCTTCTACACAGGCAAAGAGTGAGTTGAATACTGCCCTATAAACATACATTGGGTTTTTTTACCACTTAAAACTGTCAGGCTTTTCCATAGTCCGAAGATTCCTCCCCAGTCTACAGAATTTGCAGGACTCCCAGAAAATAAGAAGTAAAAATACAGTTATGCCATTATCTCTGTAATATGGGTATACAGTATGTCCTGTCTGACTTTTGCAAACGTTAACCTGGAGCCCTTGCAACAGAAATGGCCCACTTGTACTTAGGTTTCTCTGAACAATGCAAAGCTAGAACCTTTCTTGTTCAAAACAAAAACAGAGATTCCCTGCAGCCTGATTTTGAACAGACGTGTTTGGAGCTAAGTCATGCCGAGTTTTGCTTATGTATATTACCTGCTATTGTGTTCCAGGTATCTACCTACTGCTGGAGTTTCTCAGTATGTGTCCTTAGGAATAGGGTGTTCACATTTCACTGCAGCTACCGGCCTAATTTTACTGAGGTGGGTGGCATCTCATTCTGTGCTGCATCATCTAAGCCTTGCGCATTTCTAGACTGCCTTCCTCAGTGGGAATCGAGCATCCTACTTGTAAGTTACAACAGAAGCACCCATCCACTTACCTGCCAAAACTTTGATGACTAATGCGTTTAGCATGTGAAACCAATTAAAAATAAACCTCCTGTTGGTGCAATGCAAAACACTGTTAGATATCTTTGTTCTCCCAAGGAGTAAACATCAGCTGGTTACATCATGCCTACTCTGTCCATTGCATTCTCCTTGTGGCGGAGCAGAGGGCTGTAAGGTTCAGTTCCACTAAATAAGAGGTGGAGAACTCATCTAGCACACCTATGGCTGCCACTGGGGGAAATGGAGCACAGCCATGCTGCTGTTAGCCTATTGAAACATGTTCAGAGGGCATGTGCCACTCACTACAAATTGGTGGGGTGCAACAGCAGCGAATGCTGGTGCCTTCAAGTTCTGCTTGAGGACTTCCTATAAAGTATCTGGCTGGTCTCTGCTTGAAACACAATGATGAATGAGATGGCTCTTTATTCTGCTCCAGCAGGTCTCTTTTTATGCACACCGTTGTATTCAGTTCACATTCCAGATTTGTTTTCTGTAAGTCCTAAAGGCACCGCACCAGAGCAAAGCATTATCTTTCCCAAATGGAATAGGGGTTGGTTTGTTTTTACCGTGAGCCAGAAAACAACAAGGCACTGGATGTCGTCAACAGCGGGCCTAGCTAAAAGGCTTGAGTTACACAGCAGTGATTCTGACAATGCTGTCACTTAAAGTACATCTCACAGGGAGAGTGTAAGGGAGAGAGCATGCAAGACACCTACTAGTCCGTCTTCCCCAACATACATATGCGTAGACACAGAGAGCTATCACACGACTGGAGAACCTGTGGCCCTGTAGACATGGTTGGACACCCAACTGCCATCATCCCTAACCTCTGGTCATGCTGACTGGGGCTGATGGGAATTGGAGCCCAAGAACTTCTGGAGGGTCGCACAGATTCCCCAACTCAGATTCACCTTCCACATTGGGTGCCAAAAAGATCTTGCAAGCTGGCCACCATCCATGCCTTGTGCCAGGAATTCCATTGCTACTCCTGGCACACTGCACAGTTGGCAAAACACAGAGCTATGGAATCAGGGTCTCATTGTTATCTAGTTCTAGAAGTGCCAAGGCCTTGCCTTCAGCCCCATTAGCTTTACCTAATCACAGATATGGCTGTGAACTGGTTTTGGTTGTAATAAATAACAAGATGGAAGATTAAAAAAATATGTATTAAAAGATGATCCAAAAAGAACTCCCTTAAGAGAATCACGTCTTTTTGTCTTAAGACAGTCTTTAAAAGAATATCCCCCCCAATTTTTTAAAAAAATAATTCCAGTAGCACATTAAAGACCAACTAAGTATAAGCTTTCTAGGTATGAGCTTTCGTGTGTACACATACTTCTTCAGATACTCTGAAGCAGAGGTCACTACAACCTTATAACTGTTGATGACTGTTAATGATGGCAGTTGGTTCCACAGGGCAAGGGATTTTTGAAGGGATAGATGACCAAAATTAGCTTTAGCGTGTATAATGGGACATGAATCCAATATCTCTATTCAGAACCGGTCTCTCCATAGTTTTTAGTTTGGTAATGAGTTGTAACTCAGCAACTTCTCTTTCAAGTGTATTTCTAAAATTCTTTTGCAATAAGACAGCTACTTTAACATCTTGGGAAATGGAAGTGTTCTCCTATTGTTTTCTCTGTTTTATGATTCCTGATTTCAGATTTATGTCCATTTATCCTTTGGCATAAGGATTGTCCTGTTTGTACAATATAGAGAGCTGAAGGGCACTGTTGGCATTTGATGGTTTTGGTTGCTCAGTGGCTATGCAGGTAGCTCACAAAACAGGTGCCAGAACACCCTAAAAGGTGCCAGAACTCCAGTGAGTTCTGATTGAAAAAAAGCCCTGGCTATGAGAAATAAATGGCTAAAAATAACACTTGTCTGTATTTACAATTTTGCTCAGCACAATTAAAAATCAAGAAAACCCTATAATTTCAGTGCTTCTGAAATGATAATGGGAAAGGGTAGCTTCTGCGAACCTCCCTGAGATCTTATGATGAATATATTTTTACTCTGCCACAGGCAGTTCTGAAGTAGCTAGCATCCAGCTGTAATTGTGCCGAGTTACTGATGACCAACACATTGTGGTATTGCAAATCAGAGCCAAAGCAGCTTTTTGAAGAAGGCTGTTCTGCCCGTTTAGCGTATAATGCTTCTGCAATTCAAGGAAGCATTTATATTTTTTTTACCTCATTAATTACTGTATTTTTTGCTCCATAAGACACACTTTTCCCCTCCTAAAAAGTAAGGGGAAATGTGTGTGCGTCTTATGGAGCGAATGCAAGCGGGAGGCAGGCGGGAAAAGCCCCCAAGAGCCACACACACCCTCCGCACGGCTCTTGCAGGCTTTTCCCCGGGAGGGAGAAGGGACTGACTGGCCGCGTCAGTCCCTTCTCCCTCCTCGTAGAAAAGCCCGCAGGAGCCGCGCGCTCCTTAAAGGGTGTGCGGCTCCTGTGGGCTTTTCTACAAGGTGGGGGAAGGGACTGACTCTTGGCGGCTTTTCTCCCCAAGGCTGCCCTTCTTCCTCCTGGGGAAAAGCCTGCAAGCACCGCACACATGCTGCACACGGCTCGTGAAAGGGAGCGCTGAGCAGAGCCTGGGATGCATACAGGCTCTGCTCAGCGCTCCCTTTAAAAATATTTTTTTTCTTGCATTCTCCTTCTAAAAAGTAGGTGCGTCTAATGGTCAGGTGTGTTTTATGGAGCGAAAAATACGTTACATTTGATGTACTGACCGGTTATTTTGAAGAGATGGTCGGAAAAAAGCTATGGCTGGCTGAATCAAAGAGAGAATCATGACAATGCATCCGATAACAGCATGGGCTCCTGCACTCTGTCAGAGAGAAAAGGGTATGAGTCCTATTTACACTTTGCAAATGCTACGGAAGCCACCTCTCCTTTAGAAAAGGCTGCATCTTAATTCTTCTTGTAGGAAATCCTTGTTCGCATACAATGTCCTTGCAAAGGGACCTTGGGGCAGCAAAGAACATTGTATAACAAAAAAAGGAAGCTGCCGCCCATATGTAGAAGTGGTCAGTCAGCTACTTTTCGGTACAGTCACTCAGGAAGGTTTGACATCTCTTAACATGCCACCATTTCTGGGGCATTTTTAGATGACGTTTCCTTTTTTTAAAAAAACAACCACTGCACGGACATCAGACGGAATAGACTTACCAATCAGTGCAAGCAAAAAACAACAAAAATTGTGCATTCACCCATACTTAATTGCAGACTAATCAAACCAAGTCTGGGGACAGGGGAATTAGGAGATGAAATGTTGATGGAGAGCACATTTTGGTTGAGTGATCGTATTTCTTATTAATTAAATGTATTTAAATAATCCAGTGTATTTAAATATTCAGCAAATTCTTATATAAAAAAAACCAACACTTGACTGAATGGAATAGAATGCATAACTGCAGGGCTTGCTATCTAGGTATTAGGTCTAAGGTAAAGGTAAAGGTACCCCTGCCCTTATGGGCCAGTCGTGTCCAACTCTAGGGTTGTGTGCCCATCTCACTTAAGAGGCCGGGGGCCAGCGCTGTCCGGAGACACTTCCGGGTCACGTGGCCAGCGTGACGAAGCTGCTCTGGCGAGCCAGCACCAGCGCAGCACACGGAAACGCCATTTACCTTCCCGCTATAAAGCGGTACCTATTTATCTACTTGCACTTAGGGGTGCTTTCGAACTGCTAGGTGGGCAGGAGCTGGGACTGAAAGACAGGAGCTCACCCCGCTGCGGGGATTCGAACCACCAACCATGCGATCAGCAAGCCCTAGGCGCTGAGGTTTTAACCACAGCGCCACCCGCGTCCCAGGTATTAGGTCTAATATACATCTATTCTGGGCAAATTTAAACTGCAATCACAAAGCACACAATTACGAGTAAGTCCCAATGAACAGTTCAGAAGCATGCTTGCTTATGAGCAAATATGCAGAGGATTGTGCTGAAAAAAATCCAACACTTTCTGCACCCTCAAGATACCATGTGGGTCCCTGCTGCTAACTCAGAGGTGTCTTACAGTATATGTGTGTTACACGTCTTGTTGGCTTTGGCTATAGGCTGCTGGCAGTCTGTTTTGGAGAGGGGTAGCAAATTGGTCCCTGCTCTTTCATCAGCCTCCTTCATCACCCTTCATCAAAGTAAGTTGTTCAGCAGGGATCTAGGAGCTGTAGAAATCAAGGAAAGCTAAACTTACCTCACTCCACCCATTTGCTGCCACAAAGCTTAATATGAAAGCGATTGCCGTTGCCACGACAGTTAGCAACATCATCAAAAAGTGGATCTGAAAGGGGAAAAAATGTTATTAAATTAGATTACAAAACAGCGAAAAGTGAAGGATTAACTGGTCTTATTGCCATTATATAGAATAGATATGTATAAAGCCATTTTTATTTTTTATTTTTAACCCTCATTCCCCCTCACAGAACAGCAGTTCTCAAAGTGGTACCCAGGATTCCTTGGGAGAAGCCATGACAGTTGAAAGTTGAATGTTACTGCCTTAAATATATAGTACAGATGGGACAACAGTCTCTCAATGGCCTTGGTTCCTTCTTTAAAATAGCCAATTCACTTTCACCATCTACAGGCAGAACAGGGTAAGACTCAAAAGTCTGAGAGCTTCTAGAAATCTGGGGAAGGATGAATCTTCCCGTTAGGGAAAATTGCAGCAATAATGATGAGTGCTTTGCCAAAGATACTATTTCTATTTCAGAAATAACGATATATCCTTCAACAAATGGCAAAAAGATATTTCAAAATTTATCTGAAATGGGAAAAGACCAAGGATACAACATAAGATACTAACAGACTTAAGAGATAGAGGAGGCTTTTCTCTCCCAGATTTGAAATTGTATTTTGAAGCAGCATGTCTTGTATGGATAAGGGATTGGATAAAATTGGAAAAAGAAGAAGAGTTAGAAGTTAGAACTAGAAGGACACGACACTAGATTTGGCTGGCACTCATATTTATGGTATGGGAAAGGGAAAATACATAAAGGTTTTTCAAACCATATAATAAGAAAGTCATTAATAAGAGTGTGGGGAAAATATAAAGATCTGTTAAGAGTGGAAAACACCATGGTGGCTGTCACCCACTGAAGCATTTTCACTTAAGTCAACCAAAAAAGTAAGCTGGCTGACACATAGAGAGTTGTTAGCAGAAGAAGGTAAACTCAAACTAAAAAAGTATGATGAGCTGAAAGACTATTTACAAAGTTGGTTACACCTTAGGCAATTAAATGAATTTTTTAAGGAAGACAATAAAAAGGGGTTTAGTTATACAATCTCCAGATTTCAAAAAGAAATAGAAGAGAATGTTAAATTGTTTTTTAAAAGCATATAGGATTTCATTAGAGTGGGAAACCAAAGATGAAGAGGTTAAATCAGTTATGATTAAATAGGCTCAGGATGTGGGACACAACATCCAATTTGAAAGTTGGGAAAAATTATGGAAAGTTGATATAAAATTCATAGATTGCATACTATTAAGAGAGAATTACATGAAAATGATGTATAGATGGTATATCACACCAGTGAAAATGGCAGAGATGTTTAGGAAAGAAAATAGCAGAAGTTGGAGATGTAAGGAAAAGGAAGGAACATTTTATCATATGTGGTGGGAAGGCAAATGCATTAAAAAATATAGGGAAATGATATACAATGAATTGAAAAAATTGTTTAAAATGAATTTTGTCAAACACCCTGAAACCTTTTTGTTAGGTATCTCAAAGAGCTACCAAAAGAAAAATGGACATTATTTATGTATGCTACAACAGTGGCAAGAATCTTGATTGCACAATATTGGAAGACGGAAGAAATACCATCAAAGGAACAATGGCAAGAAAAGCTGGTGAACTATGCAGAATTGACTAAGCTAACAGACAAACTACGAGAGAAGGACAAAAAGGACTTCAAAGGAGTCTGGGAACCATTTACAGTTTATCTGCAGAAACAACAGAATGGACTGGATTCACTGGCAGGATTTGAATAAACTTTCACAACTTCATTTGAGTAACAGATATTTTAGAGAAATGATAAGGGATTTTATTTTTGTGTAGGAAAATCAGGATACAATAAATAAAACTAAATAACTCACCAGAGGGGGAGTTGAGGGAAGTCCAGAGGAGGGGAGGGAGAATAATTGTACATAACATGATGAATGAGATTCGTATCATTAATTGTTATAAAATTTTATATAGATAGATAGATAGATAGATAGATAGATAGATAGATAGATATAGATAGATAGATAGATAGATAGATAGATAGATAGATAGATAGTCAGTCTGAGGGCTTATCCACACCTCCATTTGCTCTGCCTCTTTCCTCTGGAGAAACAGTAACTTTAGCGCAGAATCAGAACAAATGGCGGTGGTTGGATTGTGGTTACTGCTGCTGCTGCTGCTGCATTGAACTCAGAAAAAAAACCTGAAGATGTGCACACACTTCTATTACGATCTGCGCAATCCCAAAGCTTGAACGCGATTTCGCCAACTGAAATTACTGTAGTCCCCTGTTCGTAGGGGCCAACCTAACAGTCCTCTCTACCCAACCATGGATCTATTAATGTGCGTACCTGAAACCAAATATCTTTACCCAAGAGAGGTTTCTTGATGGATTTCTTCAAGTACCTGGCAAATATCATTCCCACACTGCCTGTGGTCATCCAAGCGATCAACATGAGGGCTCCTTAGAACAGAAGCAAAGAAAACACATGGAGACAAAGGAAAACCAAATTATCAGTGGCCTGAGAAGGAGCAGCTCCAGGGAATTTGCTTCAGCCGCTCCCTGCCAGAAAATTACAAGGTCTTCATTAAGCATTCAAGAGTGTTGGGGGGGGGTCCCCTCCTCCATCCCAATCTCTTATCCTTTTGTGTTCTATCTTTTAGATTTTAAGCATGAAGGCAGGGGCCATCTTGTTATGTGATTGTTGTGAGTCACTCTGAGAGCTCTTTTCCATTGAAGAGGCGTTATAAGTACCGCAGATGAAGTAAAGTATGTTCTGTCACACAAACACATTGGTATGCCCATCATTCTTCTACGCCAAAGGAACGCAAGAAAAATAGAACGTATATTTACTAATCAAAATAAATATATGTTTGGCAAAACTCTAGGAGTTATTCTGGAAGATGTACCATTTCTCTAGTAAACTGACATGTACTTTATTTTGTTTTTACAGGTGATGTAGGGTACTGCACCACCCATGTTTATAAGGTAAAGCAGCTCTCAAATTACTCAGCAAGCAGCTTGATCCTTAGTAGGAAATGGAAAGAAGAAGATGTCTCAGCTAAAGAAGATTGGCAAGTTAAATTAATGGAATATGCTGAAATGGCAAGACTGACATTGAAATTAAGAGGAAGCGACGACAACGAGTTTAAAGAAGACTGGAAGGACTTTGTTGCATATATACAGAAGCAATGTACACAGGTTACCGTATTTTTTCCTCTATAAGACTCACTTTTTCCCTCCTAAAAAGTAAGGGGAAATGTGTGTGCATCTTATGGAGCGAATGCAAGCTGCACAGCTATCCCAGAAGCCAGAACAGCAAGAGGGATTGCTGCTTTCACTGCGCAGCGATCCCTCTTGCTGTTCTGGCTTCTGAGATTCAGAAATTTTTTTTCTTGTTTTCCTCCTCCAAAAACTAGGTGCACCTTGTGGTCTGGTGCGTCTTATAGAGCAAAAAATACGGTAATACATTAGCAGGATTCTAGAAATATTTGTAAGGAAATATGAATGGACAATAAGTAATTTTAATGTTTTTAAAAAATTAAAAGGGACATGCAGGATGATGATAAATCGGGTCCTCCCTTAAAGAGGGAACGTGTTGCGGTGAGACCTGGCAACCAAACCCTGTGTTGTGGGTGGGTTTAATTGAATAGCCACAACACCCAATTGGTAGGTCCCTTGATGCTGGTTTTAATCAGGCCAATGGGACGCAAGCTAAACAGATCAAGGGACCTATATATACCTATGCATGTGACCCAGAGCTTCCTCTTTCAGTGCGTGCATCAGAACACCCGCCCACCTCTCCCTATATTTAGGGTTGTGCGCTTGACCTTGCTAAGCTGTTGTGTGTCATCTGTCATTGGGACAGGGATACGGTATGAATTTTCCTCACTTGGCTGATTGGGTAGTGCCATTAAGGTTTCGCCTGCAATGTAGCAAATCATCACAACTTGTAAGGCTGCGGATAGGCTCTAGTTCAGGTGATAGGGATGGGAGAACGCTCTCGCCATCCTATGTGAAGGGTATTCCATTAAAGGAATCCAGTGACTCGATGGTTTGGTCAACCCCTGAGAAGGGGTTGTGCCCGTGCCTGAGTCCAGGGGGACATTTGGGTGGCGGAGTTAGCCCGATCCCGGCTTTCCGCTCATCCGGGTGTTCACCCTTGGCTGACCTATGCTGGAACCCTGGGTCAGTGCTACCTGCATGGCAGGGAGCTAGTCTAACCATAGCCTATGCAACCAACCACTTTCTGTAATCAAAAAAGTTGTGGCCTAAATTCTGCCAAAAACCAAACCAAAATTTGAGTCAAGTGTATTTATTTAGGGGGGAGGTTTCTGGGTCTGAACACGCATTGTAATTTATTTATCGCTATCAGAGCTTGAGAGGAGGGACAAAGAAAGACACAAAGCAACTAATCCATCCCCACTAAACGAGGCTCAATTAAACATGTACGGAATCTAGCCACAAGACCAAGACCCACCAGGAGCATCTCTCACAGGAGGTACTGGCAAGAGGTGGAATGGAAAGAAGAGACTTTGGGACTCCACTCTCAAACGGTTACTTACCATGAGCTTTGATGATCAAGGGTGTAGAACTGGTGCCGCCTACTGCTGCAAAGCTTGAAATGTTCACCTTCTGATGAGTAATAAAGGGTGTCCTGGGATGCTTCCGTATCATCCCTCCAAGTGTTTTTGTTTTTTTAAAAGAAGAAGAAGAAGAAGAAGAACTAGTTCTCACAGGGCCTCTTGCTATAAAATGAATTCCTGCTTGAACAAAGCTATCGACAGTATTTAAAAATCAATAGGTCTCTGTAGTCAACAGGTCTCAAGTATGCAAGAAGGTTCTGTACAGACAACGTTAAGGAAGATGACTGGGTCTTCCTTTTAAAAAAAAATTTATTCAAAATTAAAACAAAACATATTATCCAGAAACATATCATCCTTATTTTTTCCCTCATTTTTCCTCCCTCCCACACAAACACCCCCCACCCCCCAGCTTCCCTCAGTTCCAATCTTTGATTTCTCTAAGAATGCTGTTTTCTGCATGTTACACAGTTGTATAGATCCTCAAACTATTTAGCTGATTATCATCAATAAAAAAGTTTGTGAATGTTTATGATGACTGGGTCTTCGAAACTTAACAATTTATCATAGTAAGGTAGTTAATACCGATAATGCAAAACAAGAATAAAATCTTCAGGAGAGAAACTGCATATGGGTACCTCAGCCCCAGGCTACAGGTGCTCATATTTGCTTCACTAAGCTATGGACTATTTCCAAAAAATATCCAAAGTTGCACTTAGGGCAAGTGTGGAGTATGGTTCTGGCACCGCCACACTCTCTGACGTTTCCATTTCCACAACTCAAACTGTTTATACTTTTCAGAGCTGGTAGCCTAGAAATTTTGGTCCAAGCATGATCAGCTTTGTAAGAGAAGCACCGTGCACGAACTACGTAGGTACTGACTTGTATGTTAACCAAAACTGTGTTTAAATCTTCAGTTATGAGAAGGCAAGGTTATTTATGACTCAGAACGAATCATAAATTTTTCTTGTTTTCAAGCTAGACTTTGTGCTTTTAAAACCCCGACTTTGCTTGCATCTGATGAACCCGACTGTTAAGTTGTGGGTGAACATATCAGACGACAGAGCGATTCTTCAAACAGCTCTTGTTTATTCACAGGCCAGAGCAGAACTGAACTGATGGGTTCAGCCAGCCTGCTTATATAGAGCTCTACTAGAACGCAACAGTAACCACTTTCTGTAACTATACAATCACTGAACGTCACTTTCAATCCCTTATTTGCATATGTGGACCTGAGTGAAAACTATCTACAGTATCCCCCTGCTGGCCCAGGGTGAGAACTTCAGCACATAACACCGACCATCTCCTTAACCAGGGGCGGCCCTTCAATGAGGCAAGGTGAAGCCATCTGCTTCGGGTGGCAGATCTGTGCCCCTCCCCAACCGTGGCACCACTGCCAGCTCCACCACAGTGCTGCTGCCCCCCTCTCACCTGCTGCCCCCTAGTTGCCGGCGCTGTGTCAGGGTGCCATTGCAGTGGTGGGGTTGGCGATGGAAGCACACATGTGACAGCAGGGGCTGAGCAGGAGCTCGGATCAGACGATATTGGAGCGATAAAAGCGTTCCAGCTATTACAAGTAAAGGCATTTGCTACAATTATGCTCTTTAAGCCTTGAGCTCCAGAATTCTGTATGCAGTTGCTCTTGTAAACACTGTCCCCATTTCCAATTTCTATGTGGAACTCACCATCAGCGTGCGATGGCCCAAAAGCCAGAAATATGTAGTACAAACTGTCAGTGCTTCTTGGCTGGGTTGATATGGGGTTTCTCGAGATGAAAGAACACCTGATAATTCCCTCGCTGAAGGATGTTGTCAGAACGTCCACATTACCCTAAACACACACACACACACACAGCAAAGTTATCTGTCACAGTCATTTTGACCATTATACATAAACTTATAGAAATAGACACAGTAGTAATTAATAAACTGATAATAATCAAATCAAATAATGTGATGTTATTATAATATCTCTGCCTTTTCACCTAATTGTGGAGATACAATCCACAATTGTGTGTATCTGCCTTCTTCCTATAATAAAGAGCTAAAAAGGGATGAGTTTATACAAATCCTGAAGACTCATCATTATTGCACCTCAACCCCGCTGAAAAGAAAACCTCTATTCTTTCCCATTCTTTGAAAAACCCACCACTACAACCCAGGAAGAAAAGGCACTATTCCCTTGTGCTTTTCCAGTTTGACTAGTTTGACTAGCATTTCCAGCATCAGACAAAAGGATCGAACTCTGGGTGTTTCCGGCATAGGCTTCAAGCTTACTGACTTCCCTGAAAGGGATGGTCGTCATCTAATCTTTGCCCTATTAAGCAGAGATCAAATCATTTCAGCCAATGGGCCTTCTGACTGCAAATCCCACTGCCTGCGGCCAGTGTTCCCAGTCTGGCATTATGATGAATTTGTATTGTTTTATTGACTGTGGATTTTTTTTTATGTACACCACATAAAAACATGAATTACCGTATTTTTCGCTCCATAAGACGCCCTTTTTCCATCCTAAAAAGTAAGGGGAAATGTGTGTGCATCTTATGGAGCGAATGCAGACGGGAGGCTCTGCTCAGCACTCCCTTTAAAGAGCCGCGTGGAGCATGTGTGCGGCTCTTGGGGCTTTTCCCCGAGGAGGGAGGAGGGCAGCCCGTCAGCTGGCTTTTTCGCGAGGTGGGGGAGGGGACCGATGGGCTGCCCTCAGTCCCTTCCCTCACCTCCTACAAAAGCCCCAAAGAGCCGCGCTCCTTTTAAAGAGCGTATGTGCGACTCTTGGAGGCTTTTCCCCGAGGAGGGAGAAGGGCAGGCTCTGCTCAGCACTCCCTTTAAAGAGTATTTTTTTCTTGCATTCCCCCTTCTAAAAACTTGGTGCATCTTATGGTCAGGTGCGTCTTATGGGGTGAAAAATATGGTGAGTAAGTGGTGTAGAAATGCCTTAAATAAATAAATACAACTTTTAAGGAGGAGAGCTGTCGTCCAATAAGAAATCATGGGGTACAGGTTTCCCACACTCCTGATAGTTTCACACATCATACTTTTAAAAAACGAAGGTAGCAGAAGTCATTTCCAGTACCAGAGGCCTTGGGCTGGGACGACTACGTCCAGTTGAGAAGGCGTGTTGAACCTCTATGCGATCCGTTCCATTCTTACCACAGATATAAACATCATCATCCCCCTGGGAAAAGATACACAACAGTCTCCTATTATTCAGAATGAGTGCACGCTATATTTGTTTATTCTAATGTTACTAACTGGAAATCTGCCAGTTTAGCTAAGGGTACCTTACGTCCAGGTGTACCTGGTTTGAGTATGGGATGCATATTGCAAAAGAAAAGAAGCCTTGACGACAATGAATGGAGGTGGGGAAGGGAAAGGCAGGTATGTGGTCTGGTACCCTGGAAAGCCACTGCCATTCAGCATAGAGAAAACTAAGTAAGATGGACCAATGGTATGATGGTATTTGGCATCTTACTATGTTCCTACATTCATGCTTGCTCTGGGGTCCATAAATGCTCTATGCTTTCATAACCACAGGGACTGCTTGTTAAGTTGGTGGTGAACATATCAGACGACACAGCGATTCTTCAAACAGCTCTTGTTTATTCACAGGCCAGAACAGAACAGAACTGAAGGGTTCAGCCAGCCTGCTTATATAGAGCTCCACTGCAATGCAACTGTAACACTTTCTGTAACTATACAATCACTGAATGTCACTTTCAATCCCTTATTTGCATATGTGGACCTGAGTGAAAACTATCTACAGTGTCCCCCTGCTGGCCCAGGGTGAGAACTTCAGTACATAACACTGCTGACTTTCAGCGACATATAACGCAATACAAATAGTTTTTCTTACTTGTTTTATTTTTTAAGGGTTGCTTAATGTTTAGGGTTTTTAAAAAAAAAATAGCGCTTTCAATTTTTGCAAGAACTAAAATCTTGCCGATTTGTATGCAGAATCAATGCAATGTGAACACCTGTGAAATTCTGTTGAAAACGGCACAATTTTAACTTGTGCCTCTCTTATTACCTTTAGCTCAACAATACTTTTGTCATGTTTGCTGCACCTAGGGCTACATTTTTTTTTAAAAAAGTGACATGGCTGCAAGCTTTATACATTAAAGTAATATAGTTAGACCCTAAGCATCTTTTTTTTAAAAAAGTAAAAATCATTCAGTATCTCACCATTATCGTATCATCAGAAAAGGCAATAGCTACATATCCGTCTGAAAGTCCGCTCATTTCGAATTGGAAAGCATCGCTCCCTAATGCCACGGATGACATGAAGTAACAGTTTGGGTTGCTTGGGCTGCAGCCTGCAGGGTTACTGAAACAAAACTTGTATTTGCCACACCCTTCCTCTGTGGAGATCTGCAAGGAAGAGTAGATCCCATCAACCATCAGCAATAAACATGGCTGTTAGTTATTTCCCTAAAATATTAATTCCACCTCTAAGATAAGACTATGTTCGCCTGTTTAAAAGTACATGGTAAATAAATGGAATCCTGTTTGCGTGTCTGTTCAGGGGTACAGGTAAGTCCCAGGTAAGTCGATAGATTCATTGCAACCGTAATGAACACACTACACAGAGAGACACACACCTGGAGTGCATAAATGCTGCCAGGCCTTATTGCATTTGTTTTAGCATGCTTTCGATACGCAATCCTTGTGTCATTTCCACTGGAGGGATTCTCGGAGTTTGCCAAACTTACAGCACCCTTTACAGCACAATTCCATACATTACCTGGAAGCAAGCCTGGATTTCGGACACAATGACTGTCCTCTCCAAAAGAAACATATTCAGGTTACTTCTGACATGGAAGAAATGGGCTTGGATGAAGCGGGAAACAAGTCGCGTTAAAACAAAATGCAAAGATCAAACACTTACTGTTGTGGAGGAGAAGGTCTGTGAAAGAAAAGAACATTGGTTACATAAAAAAATGGTTAAGGAAAAGGAATTTACTTCTCAGCTTTTCCGTCAAAAATCCTGGGATTGAGGAGGAGCTTGTGGGCTATCTATATTGTTTTAATTGTTGTAACCTGCCCCGCCAGGAAATAAATGTCAGGGGAGTGTGTATGGTGTTAAGTTGGTGGTAAACATATCAGACGACGCAGCGATTCTTCAAACAGCTCTTGTTTATTCACAGGCCAGAACAGAACTGAACTGAAGGGTTCAGCCAGCCTGCTTATATAGAGCTCCACTGCAACGCAACTGTAACACTTTCTGTAACTATCCAATCACTGAACGTCACTTTTAATCCCTTATTTGCATATGTGGACCTGAGTGAAAACTATCTACAGTGTCCCCCTGCTGGCCCAGGGTGAGAACTTCAGTACATAACATAAGGCACTTGTTACTCTATATGTCTGCATCGTATGTATACATTGCTGGTATTTGGCCTTCAGAGATGTGGGTTACAGTCAATGTAGTTTTCAGGCCAAAAAAAGGTTGGTCTCCTTTGTGCTTATGAGTGTGGTCCCCCCCCTACAGTTTTCAGCAATAGAATGTTTAAACTATTGACATGACCTGGTAGTCCTTACACCAAAAAATAAAGTTCTCTAAGAATAGTTTAAATTAAATGCACAGTATTATTATTACATGCTTGTAAAACAAGGTGGCCAGTAAACCAAATTAAAACTTACTGGAACAAGTGGTGAACTGGAAGACACGAGAACTTGACTTTGAACTTGAGTCCAGAATACCGAAAAATTATAGACCGCTGTTGCTCTGAAAATGGTGGAATACACAGAATGTGAATAATTTTAGAAAGCATTGACCAGATGCAGCCAACCAATTCTTCCAGATTGCACTATTCCATTTTTCAAATATAAAATTTGAAATTATATAGCCTGGAATTTGTGAATTTAACAGCTTCGTTCTACATTGTTAATACCACCACCACCCACCCTTTACCCAGGGTGAGTAATAACAACTTGAAACTCAGAATCAAAAACAGTTAAAACAGATTAAAGTCATGGGAATTATGCATGCTGCTTACTGTTTTCACTGCAGCAGTTCCCAGTGCCAAAGAGCCAAGCCACAGTGAAATTTAGAAAAATGCTTGGCCCTTCTGCAGCAGAGACACAGATTCTTGTAGCCAATCCCAGCAGGATGTAGGCTTCCTAGTCTAGTATACATGTACAACCATAAAGTAATTTAAGACTTTGGGGGAAATTAAGGCATTAAGAAGTGCTGCTCCCTTACACAGAGAAAACAAGCCTGTACCTGAACTCAACATGCCCTACACCAGGAGCAGCAATCCAAATTGCTGTTATGTTTTGCTTCTTTGCCTTGTTTGTGTGACTCAGGGATGAATTCTACAATGGGGGGAAAAGAGAAAGAAAACTTGAGGCAGAAGGAAATCAGGCACATTTCAGATGCTAAAAACAACTCGGAACAGTGGGCCCATGGAGTCCCTTGATAAGCTGGGTGATTACAGAGAACCATTTCCCACCACCAACAACTTTCATTGCATACCCTTCAACTGTCCCAATTTAAGTAGGACACCTTAGGCTTCTGATCGGATGCCAGAATGTCCTGGTTTTGGGTTCAACTTTCTGGTGTGAGTCAGCCGAGCACCGGACCAAAAGATGCTTGGTTTTTTATCTTGACCTCTGGTGCGAGTCAACTAACTCCTGTGCGAGATCAATATTTTTTTTAAAGGAGTGTCCGATTTTGATTAGCAGGATGTTGGACAAATAAGAACCATGCTGGCCTTGAAAACAAAATAATGCTGGTATTGAGGTGATGTGGAAGTGGAGCGGTCTGGCCGATGGTCTGATTAGTCACACTGGAGGAGATGGGAAAGTGTCTCCTCTAGGAACACAATTTTACACCCCTGCCAGTAATGCAAAGATGGGGGTCTTGTGGCCCTCCAGATATTGTTGGGCTACAACACCCACCACCCCGACCACTGGCCATGTGCTGGCTGAGGCTGATGAGAAATGAAGTTCAGCAGCGCTCAGAGAGCCAGAGGCCCCTTATCCCTTATAGTCAACAAACTGGAAGGGGAGTATAAGACATACAAAGTCTCAGAGCTGCTGGGTTGAGGACGACAGACATACCTCGGGTTGAAGTAGCTTCAGGATAAGTATTTTCGGGTTGCGCGCTGCGGCGACCCGGAAGTAACGGGGCGCGTTAATTCCGGGTTTCACCGCTCGCGCATGCGCAGACGGTCAAAATGATGTCACACGCATGCACAGAAGCGGCGAGTTGTGACCCGCGCACACGCAGACATGGGTTGCGTTTGCTTCTGGATGCGAATGGGACTCCGGAATGGATCCCGTTCCAGGCTGCGCACCTGAAGGACCAGGTGCGCACCTGAAGGACCAGATGCGCAGCCTGGGAGTCATTTTGGACTCACAGCTGTCCATGGAGGCGTTGGTCACTTCTGTATCCAGGGCAGCTGTCTACCAGCTCCACCTGGTACGCAGGCTGAGACCCTACCTGCCCACGGACTGTCTCACCAGAGTGGTGCATGCTCAAGTTATCTCCCGCTTGGACTACTGCAATGCGCTCTACGTGGGGCTACCTTTGAAGGTGACCCAGAAACTGCAACTAATCCAGAATGCGGCAGCTAGGACAGGTGACAGGTGACCAAGACCACATAACACTGGTCTTGAAAGACCTACATTGGCTCCGAGCACAATTCAAAGTGTTGGTGTTGACCTTTAAAGCCCTAAAAGGCCTCGGCCCAGTATACCTGAAGGAGCGTCTCCACCCCCATCGTTCTGCCCAGACGCTGAGGTCCAGCGCTGAGGGCCTTCTGGTGGTTCCCTCATTGCAAGAAGCAAAGCTACAGGGAACCAGGCAGAGGGCCTTCTCGGTAGTGGCTCCCGCCCTGTGGAACGCCTTCCCATCAGATGTCAAAGAGATAAACAACTACCTGACATTCAGAAGACATCTTAAGGCAGCCCTGATAGGGAAGTTTTTAATGTTGGATGTTTATCATGTTTTTAATATTCTATTGGGAGCCGCCCAGAGTGGCTGGGGAAACCCAGCCAGATGGGCGGGGTACAAATAATAATATTAATTGTTGTTGTTGTTGTTGTTGTTGTTGTTGTTGTTATTATTATTATTATTATTATTATTATTATCCAGAGGTACCACTGTAGAGCATTTTGAGCCCAGGAAAGAGCATTGGTGGTTGGGTCGGGGGGGAGAGGAGAAAATATCCATCTCTTTCTGCCAATTGAGGCCCAAAGCTGTGATTGCAGCCCTGACTTCTTCCTTCCTTCCAATCACATGTATCGTGGCTAGGGTAAAAAAAAAACCATGAAAATAGTTCTGTGCACCCAAGACACCTGCAGAGCTGCTGTTAATCAGTATTCCCCTCTCCACACCTTTTCACAGCCAACTGCATTTGAAAACAAATATACCTTTAAAACATGTGTGGGGAATCTTTTTTGACCTTCTAGAAGCCCCATGCCAGTCGTGGGCAGAGCAGGAGACAAAGGTGGGCAGAGCGATGAATGTCTACCATTCAGAGTAGGCTAGGCTCTGCATTCACGCCTCTCTCTCCAGACAAGCCAGAGGCCTTATCAGATTTCAAGGACACATTTCAGCCAGACAGAAATACTCAAGGAGGGGGTAGCCTGAGGAGAGTCCTGAGAGCCAGATAAAGAGGCCTTGGGAGGCCTAAAGTTTCCCATCACTGTTTTAAAAGAATATGTGGTAGGATATAGCGTGGGATTAGCTCTTCATTCAAAAAAACAGACTATCCCCCGATCATATTCAAGGCCATAGGATAGTTCCCTCAGTGTATACGAGTCTCTGCTCTGCAACCAAAGCTTGTTTTTGCATCGCAAAAGCTACTAACAAAAGAATTACCCAAGCCACACAAGTTACACATACCTGAATGTCATTGCACGCAAGGCCTTGCGAGTTGGGGTCTAGGATTCGAAAATGTCCCACAGCAACATCACCTCCAACTGCTCGGGCCTGGAGTAAAAATCCCTCAAAACTGGAATCGCCGCTTGCCGTAAGAGATACTGAGTAAGAAGGATGTTGTAAAAAGTGTCAGTTTAAATGTTTTGCCACAACAAATATTAAGGGCAAAAAAACAACAACAAATGAACGTTGCATTTATTACTATCATCACTAATCACCAGGGTGTGTCACACAGATCTGATTTTAATTTGTGCACTTTTGTCTGCACCCGAGTGCTTTCAATTCAAATCTATCTTGATGTTTCCTGTCCACACCAGTAGGGGCTGCTTGATGAAATGTATTTGTGTTCTGTGTTGTTCTCCCCTGCCTTTAATGACCTTTCCTCAAGCCCCCAAATTCCAGACTAGGGATCTGTACTCACTCAACTCATCTATCTATCTATCTATCTCCCTCTCTCTCTCTCTCTCTCTCTCTCTCTCTCTATCCAGTGCATTTTTCTGGAGGAATGCAGGGTTTGCATACCCCTAAACATTTTGTGAATCTTTGTACTTTAGTCCATTTACTGTTTATTCCCCAATTTGAAACTGTTAAAATGGGTGATTTTCTTCAGTCAAAATGAGAGTACACCCTAAACATTTTTTAAAAGAAAAAAATGACTATCTATCTAGTCATTCCATCCATCCAAGACCCTATAACATCGGTCCTGAAACACCTACTTTGGCTCCCAGTATGTTTCCCAAGCACAATTAAGAGTCCTTTAAAGTCCTAAATGGCCACGGCCCCAGTATTACCCTGAAGAGCGTCTCCACCCCCATCGTTCTGCCCGGACACTGAGGTTCCAGCACCGAGGGCCTTCTGGGTGGTTTCCTCACTGCGAGAAGTGAGGTTACAGGGAACCAGACAGAGGGCCCTTCTAGGTAGTGGCACCCTCCTCGTGGAACACCCTCCCATCAGATGTCAAGGAAATAAACAACTACAGTGATACCTCGGGTTGAGAACTTAATTCGTTCTGGAGGTCCATTCTTAACCTGAAACTGTTCTTAACCTGAGGTACCACTTTAGCTAATGGGGCCTCCCGCTGCTGCCACACCGCCGGCGCGCAATTTCTGTTCTCATCCTGAAGCAAAGTTCTTAACCCGAGGTACTATTTCTGGCTTAGCAGAGTCTGTAACCTGAAGCGTCTGTAACCTGAAGCATCTGAAACCCGAGGTACTACTGTACCTGACTTTTAGAAGACATCTGAAGGCAGCCCTGTTTAGGGAAGTTTTTAATGTTTAATGTTTTATCACTTTAGTATTATTATTACTACTACTATTAATAATTACGGTAATAATATTAATATTCTATTGGGAGCCGCCCAGAGTGGCTGGGGAAACCCAGCCAGGTGAGTGGGGTATATATAATAATAAATAATAATAATAATAATAATAATAATAATAGGCAATTTGTCTTTTCGAAACCTCAACAAATGCAGTAACTGAGAATTTACCACATTTTTTCTTTACTGCCTTTTAAAGCAGACACGTCAACCAAAAGAGCAGCAATGGCAGAGCATTGTCATTTTAGGCGGTGAAAACTTAAGTTTGCAAATTTCTTCCATTGAGCGGTCTTAAAAACGTGCTTTGGGTATGAGGGAATTCAAACCCGCTATTAATTTTTGTATCGGAAACAGTATTTAGTTTGGTAAATCTATGTTTGATTTTAAAAGCATATACACTGCTCTTGGAAAAACCAAAAGAATGTTAGTTTACTTCTGAAAATGCTGGGTAATGCTAAATAAATAAATAAATAAATAAACAAACAAACAAATAATGTAGAATATAACTGCAAATACTTGGGCAATCACTGATTTCTGTGCAATTTTACAAACAGTTTACCTTACCGAGTAAAACTAAATTGTATTAATTTAACCAAACTATCTTTTGAATTCCCAAGTCATGTTATAACCTTTTCGCACCCCTCATTTTCTGAATTTAAAAGTTAAAAATTGCAATCCTCCCTAATGCAATAGGTTCCTTACTCTTGATTGCCCGAGCAAATAGTCCAAAAACAAGATGTCGTAAAGATTAAAACAAAAACAAAAACCTGTATCATACAAGCAAGGACTTCTGGTGCTTTCTGTTCTTTCCACTGAACGAACACACTCCTTTTTTTCCCAATACTTTATGTAAAAATGTGCACGTAACAAAATACAAAACAAAACAAAAATGAAGTTGGCAGGTTTCTTTCTAGGGATCTTTTAAACATTCGGAAACAGAAATCACGAGACGCCAAATGCTTTTACCTCAGCGATGAGAACAGCCTCCCGATGCAGCTTTGCAGAGGAAGCAGAATAATTAAAACAGCCATTCCCGCAAGACAGGAGGGGCCAATTTCAAGCCAAAGAAGCGCCGTTACTGCTATCGCTTGAAGGGGTCCGGCCCATAAGAAGTGCAAAAAAATAGTCACCTGCAGAAACAGAAACACACAAATTTACTGAAAGCAGCCATTAGAACTGAGAGTGTGATAAGTCGCAGGTGTACAGTGGTGCCTCGCAAGACGAAATTAATTCGTTCCGCGAGTTTTTTCGTCTTGCGATTTTTTCGTCTTGTGAAGCACGGTTTCAGGAAACTTTTGGAAAAGCTTCAAAAATCACCAAAGTCTTCAAAAACCTCAAAAAAGGCTACCATACCGTGTGCTATGAGTTGCTCCTCGAAGTCAAGTCGCAACTGTATTAACGGTGTTAAGAAAAAGGAAACAAACTTGCAAGACGTTTCCGTCTTGCGAAGCAAGCCCATAGGGAAAATCGTCTTGCGAAGCAACTCAAAAAACCAAAAACCCTTTCGTCTTGCGAGTTTTCCGTCTTGCGAGGCATTCGTCTTGCGAGGTACCACTGTATTTCACATATTTTAGCAGCAATGGCAAATTCCCTTGCACAAGCATACCTAGGTTCAGAGATGCCTGTGACCAGTGGTTTTTTTTTCGGGGGGGGCGCAGGGGTACGCATACCCCTAAACATTTTGTGAAACTTTGTACTTTTGTCCATTTACTGCATTTATTTTTCCCAATTTGAACTATAAAATGGTGATGTTCTTGAGTCAAAATGAAAGTACCCCTAAACATTTTTTTTAGGAAAAAAGCACTGCCTGTGTGACTCATGGAGAAATTTCTACACGAACGAGAAATAAACATGTAGATGGGGCTGAAAGAAAACAAAGCCACTTCTAGTTCGCATGCGGATATTTGCAGGTACCCCTGAACCAAAGATGACTACATGGAAGAAATTCTGGAGGCAGCAGTTTGTGTGTGTCTTTATGCGAACTAGCCTGCAGGCAAACAATCATTTCAATCATCTTCAACAACAGCTTTATTGTACTAGCCTTGACAATTTACAGATAAAATTTCCATTACAGAATCTTTTCAAAACAAAATACACCGCAAATAATCTTTCCATATTTGAATTTTGTAAATAGAACTTTAAATCAGAAGAGAAAAAGATTACTTCCCCAATTTTAAAGGAAGTCAATGTGACAGGAACATATCTGTGTCTTTCAAATTCATTATAAATTCAAATTTATTATGTATTTTGTGGTTTTATATCTTGATTTTATTCTGTGAACCGCCTGAGACCCCCAGGTATACGGTGGTATATAAATTCAATTAATAATAATAATAATAACAACTCAACAGAGAAAAGAGTGCTTCCTACAGATTGATGTTTGCTCCGATTTAGCACTATGGGTAACGAACAGGACAAGGAGAAAACCTTTTGGACCCATGCTTTCTATTATTATTATTATTATTATTATTATTATTATTATTATTATTATTATTATTATTATTTGCATTTTCAAAAACAGGAACAGAGAGCATATTTAAATAAGAACCCATGCTTTCTAGGCATGGAGCAAACAGAAGTGTGGACAAGCCTCAATGTGAGCACTTCTTCAGAAGAGAGTTCACCATATTTTTATGGTTGCTAAACAAGGTGCTAAAAGCACCCTAGAATTGGGTGCTCAATACTGTCACGACACTGGGTGCTTCAAGTTAAATCATGATGGGTGGTTTACTGTGAACATGCCGATGACTCCCGACTCACTAATCCCTCCTAGAGGGTGGAAGAAATAAACCTGATTGTGGCTTGTTTTCCCCGAAGCAAACCACTATCTGATTCCACGCTATCAATACTGGGGCCTTACCTGATCAAATTTATTCACATCATTTGATAGAAGATTTACAATCTGGCCCGTTGTAGTCTTTGTCATGGCTGCATTGCTCAGACGAAGTGCCTAGAGAGAAAGAGAAAGAGAGAGTGAAGTCTAATTTCTCTAGTTGCATTGTAGGGTATTTTGTTCACAATCTTTTCCAGACTTAGTCTGTTACTATTTAAGGTTACTATTCCAGAAGATGTTTGATGCAAACTTTAGAGTTGTATGAATCAAGTATCTTCTTCTGTGGCCCGCGTAAAAAAAAAGGTAAAGGTAAAGGACCCCTGAAAGTTAAGACCAGTCGCGAATGACTCTGGGGTTGTGGCACTCATCCCCGCTTTACAGGCCGAGAGAACCAACGTTTGTCCGCAGGACAGTTTTTCTGGGTCATTTGGCCAGCATGACTAAGCCGCTCCTGTGAAACCAGAGCAGTGCACAGAAAACGCCGTTTATCTTCCTGCCGGAGTGGTACCTATTTATCTACTTGCACTTGACGTGCTTTCAAACTGCTAGGTTGGCAGGAGCAGGGGCCGAGCAACTGGAGCTCACCCCGTCACGGGGATTCAAACTGCTGACCTTCCGATCGGCAAGCCCTTGGCTCAGTGGTTTAGACCACAGCATCACCCGCGTCCCTAATATTGTGGTACCGTTATACAAATCTATGGTGTAAACCACACTTGGAAAACTATGTACAGCTCTGGGAAGACACAAGATCTACCCACCCTGGAAGAATGGCAGATGAAGGTGATGGACTATATGGAACTGGCGGAAATGACCGGCAGAATCTGAGACCAGGGAGAAGAGTCGGTGGAAGAAGATTGGAAGAAATTTAAAGACTATCTACAGAAATACTGCAAAATTAATGAATGTTAGAATGGTGTTGGATTGACGTTAAGTGGTTTTTAGCAGTAATGTCATAAAGGAATGTGTAAAAATGGATTGTTAACAGGTGATAATCTAAAGTTATAATATATTAAGATTAAAGATTAGGATAAAAACAAAGAGGGAAAGGATTTGCTGAACCAACTAATTGAACTGGAATACAAAAAAGGGAGGTGTGAGGAGGTCTGGGGAACAAGCAAATGAAAGATAAGATACGGAAAGATTGAATTGTTTTTAACTGTTTTTAATTTGTATTTTCTCTTTTTCTTTTTTCTTTTTGTAACATTTTGAAAACTTTAATAAATATCTTTCTTTTTTTTTTAAAAAAAAAAAAGGAAAACTATGTACAGCTCTGGTCACTTCATCTAAAAAAAAGAGGCAATTGTAGTGTTACAAAGGGTCCAGAAAGAGCAACCAAGATGATCAAGGGGATGGACCATGTCCCCTGTGAGGACTTCTTAGTTTAGAGCAAGGTAGATTTGATTTAAATCAAATGTATCCATGTTTGTTAACTGATGTGGTTAAACAATTAAAAAAAAACATAGACTGAGTTTCAGCACACATGAAAAACTTGTTTCCTGATGAATAGCCTTTGAACTATAATGTAACTTAAATAGAAAACTTTAGAAAGATTTTTACTCCAAAAGCATTTTATTTTAAAAATCAGATTCAAACTTTTTAAAAATCTGATTTATTTATTTATTTAAAAAGCATTGATTTTTATCCACCCTGCTTTAGAGAAAAGGTGAGGAAGGAGAGGGGTTATGGTAGAGGTGTCAAAAATTCTATCTGGTGGGGAGAAAGTGGCTAGAGAAATGTCTCATATAACCCATAATACTAGAACTCCAGTAAAGATGGAAGATTCAGTACTGGCAAAAGAAACTACTTCACACAGTTGAACTACGGAACTGACTCCCACAAGAGATAGTGATGACCACCAACTTGGGATGGCTTTCAAGGGCGTTTTGCCAAATTCATGAAAGCTAACACTCTATCAATAGCTACCAGCCATGATGGCCCACTGTCAATATCACTTGCTGGACATCGTACAGGTGGAGTGCATGCTGTTGCACTCAGGTTCTGCTGGCAGGCTCCCCACAGATATCTGGTTGGTAACCCCGAGAATACTGAACTAGATGAGGCTCTGGCTTATCAAGCAAGCTCTTTTGCCCTTATAAACCACCAAAATAGGCTCCCAAGTGGTTTACAAGTTTAAAGACCAATTGCACAGGTATTATAAACATCCATAATTTAAATAAGCCACAAAACAATCCCATTAAAACATGAGGCGCAGGTTGAAAGATTAAGAGAATGCCTGTGTAAACAGGTGTATCTTCAAAACATACATGGGCGATAAGTTCCTGCATTAGAAGAACGTAACTGTTGAAGGTTTCTACTGTTATGAAAGGATTTCTGTGGGATTTGTTTTAGAGAAAGTAAAGGACTGGGAATGAAGCCAGCTTCTCTTCCTGCACCTCTCACATGACAATACTGGCAACATTTTAAGTACAGAGCTTCTTATTGTGCATATCTATGCTGTAGCGCATTGTCGGGATCTTCTACTGAGGAACACCTTGTACTCAATAGTCCTTGACTTCCAGGCCAACTATGGAAGCCAATCTGTGTACACAATTCACTGTGTCCAGATCCTGGTCTTTTGAGGTTTCTAAGCAAAACGCCACCAAACCGTGATGTGCTTTATAAATCAGCATCATTCCTCCAACACATCCTGTCAACATTACTTTTTCCAAACAATCTGAAAGTGAGGCAACGTGACTCACAAGGACAAACCTCTATCTTTCAAATGACGCACCGTAAACTACCCTGATCTCATCATTATCCAAAAGTTGTTTTTCAAAACTAAAACCAATTCCAACCTCAAACGACACATAACAATGCCTCTCACATGTCACTTTAAACCATGGTCAAGATTAACCATGGTTTAATGGTGAGCACACAGTGTGCCGGTGGAAGTGGAGAAAATTGCAACCACTTTCCTCCCCACAAACACCTCCCCCCCATACACAGTTTGACAAAGACCTATGCTTAGTGTGTTCCAGGACTTCTGCAATGTGGGAAGATCAAACAGAAAAAACTAATTGCATTACTAAAAATAAAGCGATAAGAGCACAACACAAGCCCATTTGTCTTTTCCCCACCAAACTGGTTTTTACTCTCCACAAGCAGCGTTCAATGTAAAGGCTATTTTATTGTTTTTTTAAATCCCATAATGGACTTGAGTTATCTCATCGGGAACGGCAAATTAATACCTCAGAGATATGTTTATGTACAAGAAAGCCATGTGCTTACTCCATTACAAGATAACTCCTAAGGGATGATTTCCCAGGTATCAAGAAATGCACTAAAAACAAATGCAGCTTTACCAAGACGACTAGAGACACAGCTCTCTCTCACACACACACACACACACACACACACACACATATGCATACACTATGGTTCCAACCCAGCACAGACAGACAGACACACACACACAGAGAGAGAGAGAGAGAGAGAGAGAGAGAGAGAGAGAGAGGCCTAAATTGCTAGCTAGCTGCACCTTACATGAATAATGATAAACTGGTTCCATGGGGAGAGCATCTCCCACCATAGATCACAGCAATGCCTAGGTAAACAGCTGGATTTTACCCTGCTTCAGGGCTCATAAAAAGGACCAAAGTCTGGCCCCCTTCAAGAACTAGCAAAACTACTAGAAAATGGGTGGGACCAGTTCCAATACATACCAATTTCCCATGTCTTCATTCATAAGTGTGTTCCATCCCAATTTTCCAATCTCTTTGCCAAAAAAAAGCATGCTATTTTAATTCAGTCCTAGATCTTTAGCAATATCTCTTTCCCTTGGGACAACCTTATAAGATCTGCAAGTGATCAGTTCAGACAACAGCGATCGGTCCGTCTGTCAGCAACTTGCTAGGTGGGGCATGAAAGAGAAAAAGAATGGCTCCAGCCCCTTCTGGTCCTGACCACTGCTGGTTTAACCATCAACATTTGACCCCAACAGAGGAACTCCAAGGGAATGCAGCCAATAACAGGGGAAAGAAAATGTATTCCACCCATGTGGGCTGGGCAATATTTGGTTTTCAACACCAACATACCACCACCTAAACATTGCAATATATTGATATATCATAATGTCTGAAATAAGGATGGAATTATGGAGAGGCATTGGCTGGCTTCGCAGATTTCCCCCCATTCTAATTTTTGCATAGCACAAAAACACACATCATGATTCATGATACAGTGGTGCCTCGCAAGACGAAAAGAATCCGTTCCGCGATTCTCTTCGTCTAGCGTTTTTTTCGTCTTGCGAAGCAACCCTATTAGCGGCTAAGCGACTTAGCGCTATTAGCGGTTTAGCGGCTATTAAAGGATTAGCGGCTAAGCTGCTAAAAGGCTATTAGCGGCTTAGAAAAAGTGTGGGGGGAGCGGGGGGGGGGAACGCAAGACTAGCAAGACGTTTCGTCTTGCGAAGCAAGCCCATAGGGAAAATCGTCTTGCGAAGCAACTCAGAAACGGAAAACCCTTTCGTCTAGCGGGTTTTCCGTCTTGCGAGGCATTCGTCTTGCGGGGCACCACTGTATATTGCCAGGTCAAAAATTATGAAACCGATATCACAATATGGACTTCAAACCTATTTTGGACGATATATCGCCCAGCCCTACCCATGTCTTATATTGCAAATACAGGAGGAAATTTTTTGTCAGAGACATTTGGGGTGGGGAGTGAAGGTTCAAGTTCCTGAGTTCAAGGGCAAGAATGAAAACAAAATTTAGGCCCACCATGTCACAAACAAGAAGCCGCTGGAAACTGATTTACTACTACCCTGGGTTTGTATTCATCCTCCCAGCATCAGCCCACATTCCTGGACCTTGACAGTTAAATCTTTCTTCTTAGCCTCTTTTGGTATGTTCCTGTAAAGGTCGAGGAGTGCGTATAATGGCTGCCAAGGCCTCTCCAGCTTGCAGTGGTTTGCTTCAAAAAGTCAGCCCTCAGAGCCTCATCTCTGAACAAAGACCCAGTGCAGAATAAGTCAAATAAAACAAAACCTAATCACAATCCAAATATTATCCATGGATTTTCCCCCCCTCCCTGTTCCTAATGCTATCAACTTCAAGCATATGTTTTAAAAGGGAGTTGCTTCAGCATATGCAAAGCCAGGCAAGACCCCACATATTTAAGCGCCCTGTTTATTGAGATAAAGGAAATATATTACCCACCTTGCGATAAATCATGTGGCACATGGCCACTCTAAGCTTCATGCCGGCACGTTGTACGTGATAAAAATACAAGTGGTGAGAGATGGCCAAAACCAGCGTACACACGGACAAGGCAGCTGCGGAGGCATAGGCGTATTTCAAGGCAACATCCGAGCCACTGTTTTCAAAATAAGCAATAATCATTCCCAGAAATATAGGCTGGATTAATTTGAGCGTTTCCTAAAGAGTGGGGAGAAAAGCGGGGGTGGAGGGAGAGGCTTTTAATAAACACAGCAGAGTCATAATAGCGAAATCTTCCTCTAGAAGAGAATAGCGTCTCATTTTAACTTGTTTCAAAAGCGGAATCATCTTAACCAGCAAACATCAAACCATCTTAGTCCACTGTTTCGTAGATAATAGAACATGTTTCTGCACAACATGGGGACTATTTTTTTTTTACCGTCCTACACCGGTCATTTGCACCTAAGCTTTGCTACGTGCTTAAGACACAATGGTGTAGTTGAAGAGCGCGAGTCAGAATGTGGGGGAAAGATGCTTACCTGGAAAATTCAAAGCAATGCCAGGATTTGAACCTGGAACTTTCAGGTTCATAGCACAATCTGTTTGCTGTGGTGCTACACTAGCTCTCTGAAAATAATCTGTCTAGGAGCCCTCATCTGTCCACACCCTACCAAAAATGACACGAACAGTTGCCTCTTGGAGACTACAGGCTATAAAGGGAATATAGGACCTACCTGGCTGCTGTGGTTAAATGTGGGACAACATCGGCATACTCTCAGCACTATGACTGCTGCATTTGAAGTCACCGGGCACATTCACACTATAGGTTGAAAGCACTATGATACCACTTTAAACAACTATGGCTGCCCCCAAAATAATTCTGGGAGTTGTGGCTTATTACAGGCGCAGAGAATTGTTAAAGGTAAAGGTAAAGGGACCCCTGACCATTAGGTCCAGTCGTGGACGACTCTGGGGTTGTGCCGCTCATCTCGCTTTAGTGGCCAAGGGAGCCGGCGTACAGCTTCCGGGTCATGTGGCCAGCATGACTAAGCCACTTCTGGCGAACCAGAGCAGCACACGGAAACCCTGTTTACCTTCCCACCGGAGCGGTACCTATTTATCTACTTGCACTTTGACGTGCTTTCAAACTGCTAGGTTGGCAGGAGCAGGGACCGAGCAACGGGAGCTCACCCCGTCACAGGGATTCGAACCACCGACCTTCCGATCGGCAAGTCCTAGGCTCTGTGGTTTAACCCACAGCGCCACCCGCGTCCCTGAGAATTGTTAGGGGACCCCCTATTCCCCTCACACAGCTACAAATCCCAGTTTCCTAAGAAGGAGGACTGGTTCCTAAAACCACTCTGCCCCGAAAGGGAAATGGGGTCTCTCAGCATCCTTGACAAACTACAGCCACTTGAAGCCACGAAGGTTTAAAGTGGGATCATAGCTCTTTAAAGGTATTGTGTAAATGTGGCACTTCCTAGAGAAAAAGCAAGCAAACTGAGGAGCCAAACTGAAGTCAGCTGAGCCTGCAGCTTTGCCTGAAGGCAGAAAAACAGCTTTAATTAGTGCCGCTAAACCAAAAATACACAGAGGAGTACCGCTTGCGGCTAGTGTCTCTAGACCACTTGTTGTCTTCCGCATTTAAAGAGAAAGCTGCAAGGGTTTCGAGGCTTGGAAAGGGGAGGAGGGATTTCAGCAGCTAAGGCTTGAGGGAAAGGGAGAGGAAGAGAGCAGGACCACCACACCGAATTCTGCCTTGCAAAACAGCTCAGCTGGTCAGAGCGTGGTGCTGATCATGCCCAGGTTGCAGGTTCGATCCCTGTTATTCCTGCATTGCAAAGGCTTGCACTCAATGATCCTCATAGTCCCTTCCAACTCTACATGATTCTATGATTTCTATGATCCTACAGCGCATCTCTTTCATTGCATTACCTCAATCAGCGTGAAAAATCCCAGAAGTAGATAAGATTTCCAGTAGCAAAGTATAATTGCCTTTGTTAAATGTGGCATCCTCGCTTCCTTTTTTGCCTTTTGCACTTCTCTGTCCCAGTACCTATAAAATAAAACATGAGTGAAGGATGCTGAAGGGGAGGGGGGCAGAGAGAGAGAAAGAAAATGAAAGAAAGAAAGGAAAAGACAAGTATCAGTCCACAAAATGATCGCTTTCATGTATCAACTGTACAGAAACATAAGATGAACTGTGATAATTTGCTGGAAAAGAGAGAGGCCTTCTCCTGAGCTTATGAGAGCAGTCAAGCGTCAGTTGTTTGCTTTTCCTGCAAGGACAAGTTGACCCTATAAACAGGCACGGGTCAGAATAGGCCCGCACTTACAAAGTTATTGAGAGATCTATCAAAATGGTTACGGTACTTTCCGCAACACAGAGAAAGGCGGAAATCAGTTTAAATGCAATCCAAGGCAATTCTGATACTTGAGCCACTGAAAAACCTGTCTTGCCTCACAAGAACTCCAATATACAAGCACACCAAGCAGAGATAGAGCAGAAAGCTGGTACTATAGGGTTTCTCCTCTCATACATTTCAAAAATCCTTGACCTGGGGAAGAGACAGATTGATGCATGCTGTGAAAGAATAAAAAAAAAGTCCAAATACAATCACTGATATTCTGTTGTCTACTTACCACTGCAACCCCTCCCCAAGCACCTTAGAGGAATCTTCGGTGAGTACCTGAAACATATCATCCTCTTCTAGTTTCCTTTTATGACCGGTAACAAATAAAGGATTCAGCCACCTGTTTGAATGATAAAATATTGCTTTACACATCAATTTCCCTCACTCTCTGACACACACACACACACACACACACACACACCCTCTGTTAAGGGACTAAGGCTTACATGATTATAAAAGCAGGAATTCAGTATACAGAGCATTATATGGAAGGAAGCATTATACTAAGGAAGATAATAGCACAATAAAATTCAAAACAGTGACAATTAACTGCACATTTATTCAAAATCCAGTTAAAACCATTTAGCTTAATTAATTCAACAAAACTGACAAACGTGATCCAGAGACATCAGCTTTTCATAGTCTCGGGGCCAATTATTGCTCCAAATGTCTGGATCAAGTGACTTTTCTTCTTTAAGCTCTCAAAGTTCTTCAACTTGTTCAAGGTGCTCATCTGAACTACCCAGATGTTTAACAGAGAATCAATCACAGTCGGCCCATCATTTGAAAAATACAGTCAAACCTCGGTTGTCAAACACAATCCGTTCCGGAAGCCCATTAGACTTCCAAAATGTTTGACAACAGAGGCACGGCTTTCGATTGGTTGCAGGAGCTTCCTGCACTCCACATCAGACGTTCAGCTTCCAAAAAACGTTCGAAAACTGGAGGATTTAATTCCGGGTTTTCAATGTTCAAGAGCCAAAGCGTTTCAAAACAGAGGCATTCAGGGACCGAGGTTTGACTACATGACTTTAGAGCCATCTTGTTCCAAAACAGCATTCTGTTTTGGTGACTGTAACCTTGGTTTTAAGGAACCATTTGACATCCAGCTTATATACCCAGAGTGGCTGGGGAAACCCAGCCAGATGGGTGAGGTATAAACAAAAATTATTATTATTATTATTATTATTATTATTATTATTATTATTATTATTCCTGCGTTTCTAACGTGACCCTCAGCCATCTTCACTTGGTTGCAAAAGTGGTCGAAGGCCTGGCTAATTTTGAACACAGCTCCATACCTTTAAAACACATCCCCACCAACCAACCCCCCAAAAAAACAGAATTGTGGGAACTGTGGTTTGATAAGCGTGCAGGGTAAGTTATATTTCCCAGGATCGGGTTGGTATGGTATGGTGTCTACACTACCCAACACATGATGCAAACAAAAGGCAAAACAGGGGAGACCTTTGATGTCACAAGCAGGTTTCTTAAGGGTGGCATTTCTAGGCAACTTTGCTCTTGTTCTCCCAACCCACAGGGACCCTGAGGGCAAGACAAGCTGGGAGTGAAGGGGGAGCATTAATGCTCACGCTGCAAAAATGGTTTTTTTCGGTTCTGTGAAACTCTTTGTCGTCTAAAACCCCTCTGCCTCAGCGCCCTTTGGACTTTCAATTGCTTTGCAAAGGACTTAACCACCACGGAAGTCCTTTGTCGTTCATTAATTAGCGGTGCTTTAATGCTTTCTCCTATTCAAAGCTGAGAAAAATGAGATTTTTAAGCCCCAATGTAGCCAAGCCCTTCAAGAAGGATGTCATTTTCCCAATGGCAGAAATGATTTCCCCTCCTCAAGACTGGCCACATCATATGCACGTACCATTTTTTAAAAAGTGAAATAGGCAGGCCACAGCGTCCGCTCTTAAACAGAAATGCTCCCCCGGGCTTTTTTCAGCTTGGCTCCTCCTGCTCAACACAAACTCGTGGGACTTCCCCAAGCCAGAGTCAAACATCTGCTGGTTGGGCACGTGGAGCTCTTTGTACAGAGCTGTGTGTGCTTATCACAAAACACTAAAGGAAACAAAGCCGGGTGATATTTACACTAAAGGAAGGTTTCCTACAGCCTCATTCACCTGGAGAGAGAGAGATGTGAGGGCCCCAAAGGGGAGAGGGGAGTGGAAAAATATATTCTTTTTTTCTTTTCAAATGAGAGATGTTTAAGACAAGGTCATTGCTTAGTTAAACCTTAGCTATGGAGGTTTTTAGGTAGCCAGTCTACAGCATTGGAGAACAAAGTACTATTTCAGAGTAACCATGCAAAGGATTGCTCTGTGCAGCTTGAAAATACGCCAAAGAGCAGAATTTTATATGGGACGCTAAAAATCAGAGGCAGGCAATCTGGATCTGGCGGACAGGTCAGATCCTTATCTCCAAGCACCCCAGCAGTTCAAGCTTGACAGGTGGGCAGGGTCACCCACCTGTCAATCACCTGATGCCACAAAGACATCAGGTGCCCTGGCTTGCCCATATGGTTTGAAATCAAACCGCCTGGTCAAAAAAGAGAATACAATGCTCCCCAAACACTTACTAAAACTTTGCCTGAAGCAGTTCCCAACTGGCACCGGCAATCCTGCAAAGTTTCTTTTGTCCAAGCCCCACCTTTACCTGTTCCACACCTGACATCATGCCTGTCCCCCACAGATATGTTAGGTGTCTGTGCCTTGGCTGAAACAACCTTGCAGGCCAAACAGGGAGGCCTAGCAGGCCAAAGGTTTGGTTTGGATTTATTTATTATGTTCTGCCCCCTTCATGGATCACTGCCTTGCCGTGGCGAAGGGGCTTGAAGAACTCAGAGAAGCTATGAACTACGCCGAGCAGGGCACACAAGATGAACAAGTCATAGTGGAGAGTTTTGACCAAACGTGATCCACCTGGAGGAGGAACCGGCAAGCCACTCCAGTATCCTGCCAAGAAAACTCCATGGACAAAGACAACAGGCATATAAAAGTTATGACGCTGGAAGATGAGCCCCTCAGGTCGGAAGGCGTCCAACATGCTACTGGGGAAGAGCGGAGGGCAAGTACAAGTAGATCCAGAGCTGATGAAGCGGCTGGGCCAAAGCCGAAAGGACCCTCAGTTGCGGATATGCCTGGAAGCGAAAGGAAAGTCCAATGCTGTAAAGAAAAATATTGCATAGGAACCTGGAATGTAAGAACCATGAACCTGGGTAAGTTGGAGGTGGTCAAAAATGAGATGGCAAGAATAAATATTGACATCCTGGGCATCAGTGAACTAAAATGGACGGGAATGGGCGAATTCAGTTTGGATGACCATCACATCTACTACTGTGGGCAAGAAACCCGTAAAAGAAATGGAGTGGCCCTCATAGTCAACAAAAGAGTGGCGAAAGCTGTACTGGGATGCAATCTCAAAAATGATAGAATGATCTCGATACGAATCCAAGGCAGACCTTTTAACATCACAGTAATCCAAGTTTATGCACCAACTACTGGCGCTGAAGAAACTGAAATTGACCAATTCTATGAAGACTTACAAGACCTTATAGAAATGACACCAAAGAAGGATGTTCTTCTCATTATAGGGGATTGGAATGCTAAAGTAGGGAGGCAAGAGATAAAAGGAACAACTGGCAAGTTTGGCCTTGGAGATCAAAACGAAACAGGGCAAAGGCTAATAGAGTTCTGTCAAGAGAACAAGCTGGTCATCACAAACACGCTTTTCCAACAACACAAGAGACGACTCTACACATGGACATCACCAGATGGGCAGCATCGAAATCAGATTGATTATATTCTCTGCAGCCAAAGATGGAGAAGCTCTATACAGTCAGCAAAAACAAGACCTGGAGCTGACTGTGGCTCAGATCATCAGCTTCTTATAGCAAAATTCAAGCTTAAACTGAAGAAAGTAGGAAAAACCACTGGGCCAGTAAGATACAATCTAAGTCAAATCCCTTATGAATACACAGTGGAAGTGAGGAACAGGTTTAAGGATTTAGATTTGGTGGACAGAGTCCCTGAAGAACTATGGATGGAGGCTCGTAACATTGTACAGGAGGCAGCAACGAAAACCATCCCAATGAAAAGGAAATGCAAGAAAGCAAAGTGGCTGTCCAACGAGGCCTTACAAATAGCGGAGGAGAGAAGGCAAGCAAAATGCGAGGGAGATAGTGAAAGATACAGGAAACTGAATGCAGATTTCCAAAGAATAGCAAGGAGAGACAAGAAGGCCTTCTTAAACGAGCAATGCAAACAAAAAGAGGAAAACAACAGAATGGGAAGAACCAGAGATCTGTTCAAGAAAATTGGAGATATGAAAGGAACATTTCGTACAAAGATTACCATAATAAAGGACAAAAGTGGTAAGGACCTAACAGAAGCAGAAGACATCAAGAAGAGGTGGCAAGAATACACAGAGGAATTATACCAGAAGGATATGGATGTCTCGTACACCCCAGGTAGTGTTGTTGCTGACCTTGAGCCAGACATCCTGGAAAGTGAAGTCAAATGGGCCTTAGAAAGCACTGCAAATAACAAGGCCAGTGGAAGTGATGGTATTCCAGCTGAACTATTTAAAATTTTAAAAGATGATGCTGTTAATGTGCTACACTCAATATGCCAGCAAATTTGGAAAACTCAGCAGTGGCCAGAAGATTGGAGAAGATCAGTCTACATCCCAATCCCAAAGAAGGGCAGTGCCAAAGAATGCTCCAACTACCGCACAATTGCACTCATTTCACACGCTAGCAAGGTTATGCTTAAAATTCTACAAGGAAGGCTCAAGCAGTATGTGGATCGAGAACTCCCAGAAGTGCAAGCTGGATTTAGAAGAGGCAGAGGAACCAGAGACCAAATTGCAAACATGTGCTGGATTATGGAGAAAGCTAGAGAGTTCCAGAAAGACATCTACTTCTGCTTCATTGACTATGCAAAAGCCTTTGACTGTGTCGACCACAGCAAACTATGGCAAGTTCTTAAAGAAATGGGAGTGCCTGATCACCTCATCTGTCTCCTGAGAAATCTCTATGTGGGACAAGAAGCTACAGTTAGAACTGGATATGGAACAACTGATTGGTTCAAAATTGGGAAAGGAGTACGACAAGGCTGTATTTTGTCTCCCTGCTTATTTAATTTGTATGCAGAATACATCATGCGAAAGGTTGGGCTGGATGAATCCCAAGCTGGAATTAAGATTGCCGGAAGAAATATCAACAACCTCAGATATGCAGATGACACAACCTTGATGGCAGAAAGTGAGGAGGAATTAAAGAACCTTTTAATGAGGGTGAAAGAGGAGAGTGCAAAATATGGTCTGAAGCTCAAC